AAGCCGCCACTTCCCCACCCTGTCCTTGTGCAGCCGGTGCCTTGGAGCCAAGCCCAGATCTCTCAGTTAAGCCCTGTTCCTTTCACCTCCTGAGGTCTAGGCCGTTGCTCCAGCAGGTTAGGATGGTTTGGGATCCTGAGTCTGTCTCCCAACATATTCCTGTCCTCACTGGCTTCCTGCTGTTCACAAAGTTGAGGGGCTCGTCCTCTGTGGCTTTGCCCTGATCCCAATAAAAAGGTGGACCAACACAGGAGTAAGGGCAGAAGTGATCCGTCAGTCCTGAGGCAATGCACCATGCTTGTCCAGGGAAGGACATCATCTAATTTATTTCCATCACGCTTAAGAAAACCAGTCCATTTCACAGAGGGATTGATTAGTGGAGGCAGAGAAGATGAGTGATTGTGTCCAAGAATATCATGCTGGGGTAACAGCCAGGCCTTTCCTGCCATCTACAGCTCTCATCTCTAGGGTTGTCATCTCTCAGAGGAAAAGCAGAAGATAAGAGTAGCAAAATTGGCCCTTCTGATTGGAAAGAGGGAGATTTTTAGAGCTGGAAGGAATCTTAGAAATGATCAAAAGTTTGACAGATCAGAGAGCTCAGGTAACTTACCACGATCGCAGAGCAAACCTTCACTGCAATTGGGAGTCAAATCTGGGTTTCTTGAGGGTGGGTCCAGTGCTCATTCAGCTCCACCTCTAGGTAAGTTTGACCCACAATGGCAGATCAAAGGGAAACATACACGGCACGGATTCTTTTCTAATTCTAAGTCCCAGGTGGTTCCTTCTGTGGTTCTAGAGGGGCTTGGAAAGGGAGGAGAAGCAGCATCTTCCTCTTGGGCTTCTAGAGAACCCTTGATCGCCTCTCCTCTCCTTCCTACGGGGTTGGAACCTCAGCACCTGGTACCCAGCCTTGCCCCTGTCTCCACCTGCACTCAGCTGTCAGCGTGCAGATGTGGCTGGATCTGAGCCTGGATGTACAGCTGGATAGCTCGGCAGCTCCTGGTCCTCACTCTCACACCTCCTCCTCAGCTTGGGGCTGTGGCAGTGTGAAGCCAGTGGGAGGCTGGCACCTGCCCATGACTTGGGCCCCTTTGATCATCACTCTGCAAGTTTTCAGGCCACTTGGGGACGGCCTGCTTCAAGTCCACAGCCAGGAGCAACCATAACTCTGCTTGCCCTGGGAGGCGGGTCCAGCCCCTGATCCACACAGACTGCTGAAAAACGAAAGAATCCAAAGAGTGAGTCAGTGAAAACACTTGTGGAAATAACAGCATATATACTGAAGAAGAAGAAATAAAAACTGTATTTTTTTCCTGCTGGCGTCTAATTAAAAAATAATAATTCATAATGATAATGATAGTACTATTGATATTGATAGTACTATATGTGCAGGCACTATATTAAGTACTTTACATCCATTATGTTATTTAATCCTTACAATATCCCTGTGAGGCATTATTCTCCCCATTTTACATTTAAGAAAGTTGAGGCACGGGAATGTTAAATATCACGAGATAAACCAGCTAGCAAGTGTTCGGCTTCACAGAGTAGTGAGCGTGGCTCCCTGTGCCAGACTGGGAAACAGACCACACAGGCTGCAACAACTGAGCCCTCTTCCTTCCAAAAGAGAGCCAGCCATTGACCCAAGATGCACAGCAGACCTCTGCACCCCTGAACCCCACTGCTCATCAGGTCAGTGATGGCATCAGGCCAGAAACCGACCTAATCTGACCACCTCATTTGGCTGGTAACTGTGGCACCCGCAGATCTGAGTTCAGTTGCCACCACTAAGCTTATTTGATGAACAGGTTGGGAAACCAAAGCACGAGGTCCCCACAGAAAGCTGCCAAGTGAGCAAGTAAACTTGGGACCTGCATCCTGGGCTCCAGGCCACAAGCATGTCCCTGGGAGGCAGCACTGGGTTGAACATAAGTGTTTTTTTTGGTTTTTTTTTTTTTTGAGACAGAGTCTAGCTCTGTTGCCCATGTTAGAGTACAATAGTGTCATAGCTCACTGCAAGCTCAAACTCCTGGGCTCAAGCTATCCTTCTGCCTCAGTCTCCCGAGAAGCTAGGACTATAGGCACTAACCAGCACACTTGGCTAATTTTTTCTGTTTTTAGTAGAGATGGGGTTTTGGGGTCTTGCTCTTTCTTAGGTTGGTCTTGAATTCCTGAGCTCAAGCAATCCTCCCGCCTCCGCCTCTCAGAGTGCTAGGATTACAGGCGTGAGCCACTGCACCAGGCCTGAAGATAAGTTCTTACTACCTTCTATGACCTAAGGCTCCCACATGCCAAACTCTCCAGCATACGTGTCTCCGTGGATCACAAATGACCCAGACCCACCAGCAACTTCCCTTTGGGTTCGCCTTCTTGGAATCTCCCTTCCTTTCCCTAGCACACACGTGCTTTCCAGTGTGCCCAGCAGGGGGCATCCTTGCCCTTCCACTGTCTGCCCTGGGGGGTAAGATTGGCCCACTGCCTGGGTGCCCCCTATCTACTCAGCTCAGCCCAGGAGCCCAAGGCCACCGTTTCCCAGACTGGGCCTTCGAGTGACCTCCATGATTTCCTTCATATCCACTCTGCTATTATTTACATGGTATATTTTTTGTCAACTCACATTTTTTAAAACCTAACTGTATTTCTAAAAGAAAAAAGCCCTCTTTCAGGAAGGTTTTCGGCTCTCCTTGCTGCCCGGATTTCCTGCATTTTAGGGCTGGCTTTGCAGGATGTCAGGATGTGGGCAGGAGAGTACAGGCCCCCATAAAGCTGCAGTTGGGCTCTCAAGAATACTCCAGGCAGTGTCATCACAGGGTAAGGAGGGGTGAGGCTTTGACCTGTGGAGTCAGAGCCTGAGATTGAAAGGACCAGAGTGAGAACTCCTCAAATCCTTAAACTGAGGAGAGGAGCCGGTCCCTCTCTCTCCCCAGGCTTGCCATTCCAGGCCCAAAGTGGAGAGAGGGCTGGTGGCTAAAGGGCAGGCAAGAGGGAGGGACTTGGGTGCAGGGACCAGGGTGGCTGCAGGTGACAGGTGCAGAGGCTTTGGGAAGGGACAGGGATTTCCCTTGCAAAATGCACTCAAACAGACCCAGAGGGAACCTGATCCCAGGGAGGGAACCAGGAGGCAGGGGCTACCAGAGGGGCCCCCAGAGGGGCCCAACACTGGAGGGAGGGAGAGAGGAGAGAGGAGAGACATTGAGGAGTTATGGGGAGGGGAGAAGGAGACCCTGAGCCGTTGCCAGGAGGTGCAGCCTTGTTCCAGGCCCCATCCCCTGGTTTTGGAATTGCTCTTTTGGAGAATATTTTTGTGCAGCTAAGGAATCCCTTAGCTGCAGCCCACACTGGGCAGCTTATTAGTCTTAGTCTTTTTTTTTTTTTTTTTGAGACAGAGTCTCAGTCTGTCACCTGGCCTAGAGTACAGTGGTGTGATCATAGCTCACCGCAACCTCAAACTCCTGGGCTCAAGAGATCCTCCTGCGTCAGCCTCCCTAGTAGCTGGGACTACAGGCCCAGCTATTAGTCTTAGTCTTAATTCCTGCTGAAGAGTGTCCTCCCTCCACCTCCCTCCCTCCTGCCCTGGCCCAAACCACCAGCAGAGGCAGTTCTAGGGCCGGGGTGAGGGTCTCACAGTTGTCAGGGGCCCATGGGGGACCCTGGGGAAGAAAGCCAGACCCTGAGAGGGGAAGGAAGTCAGGGGTAGAGCTCCTCACCTCCCTGCTTGGGTTAAGAAGGGTGATAGGAGGAGCAGGTTAGGCAAGAGGAAGTGGGCTGGGGCTGAACTGCCCAGACCTGGGACCCTGAGCAGGTCTGCGCCTCTCCGGAGCAGCCCTCTGCCCCACTGCTCTCACCCCAGGCCCTAGTGCGGAGCCTGGTGGAGAGCCCAGTGGGGGCTGGTGGCAAGGGCTGCTCAGAGCTGTGTGTAGGGTGGCTGGTCGTGGGGATCCAGGTCCCCACCGGGCCCAAAGCTGAGAGGCAGGAGTCACGGAGTCACGTGGTAGGTCAGGGGCTGATTGCTTCCCTGCACCTCATTTTCATGGGGAGGAAGCATTGAGAAAGAGGAGCTGGGTGTTTAGCAAATTTTGCTTATTCAAAGCACTCCATCCAGGCTCACCCTGTAATCCCAGCAGGGTGGGATTGGGAGGCTGAGGCGGGAGGATTGCTTGAGGCCAGGAGTTCAAGACCAGCTTGGGCAACATAGTGAGACTCTGTCTCTACCAAATACAAAATTAGCTGGGATGGTGGCATGTGCCTGTGGTCCCAACTACTTGGAAGGCTGAGGTGGGAGGATCCCTGGAGCCCCAGAGTTTGAGGCTGCAGTGTGCTGTGATGACACCACTGCAGTCTAGGCCAGGCAACAACAAGACCCTGTCTCACAAAAACAAAAACGAAACCACTCTCAGTCCCAGCTGTGCCTGTCCCCATTCCCAATTCCTACCTCTAGGGTGGTCCCAGCCTCTGGGGTCAGACCCCCTGCTCTGGACCCTACCCCTGTGGAGGTCCCTTCTCCTACTGAGCACTTTGCACCTGCCCCTTAGTCCAGCCTGGGCAACAATACCCCGGCTGGTCTCCAGATTGTTCTCCAGTCCCCCAGGCCAGCTCTGACCAGGGGCTACCCCTAGAGGCCCTGGCTGCAAGGTGGCCAGGCCTCATGACCGCCTCGCTTCTGAGCAGCACAGAGAAGGAAGCCCTGAGCAGGAAGTGCTGAGGCACAGGGTGGGGGCGGGGGCTTCCAGGGGTAGCCCAGCCTCCCTGGGCAGGAGCAGTCACCACAGCCCCCACTGCAGGAAGGGCAGGAGGAGGCTGATTTACAAGGCAGATGGGCCCCTGGCCGGAGCTCTCAGCCCTATACTCAGCCCCAGCCACCGGTGCGCTATAAGAGCACCCAGACTTCCGGACTGGCTCGGGAGGGTGCCATGTGAGCACAGCTTGGCTCTCCCTCCTACCCTGCTTCCTTCCCTCCTCTTGCCTGCCCCGTGTCTGCCCAGCTTCTCCAGGCAGGGACACTTGGCACCATGTCTCTTCTCAATCCTGTCCTGCTGCCCCCCACGGTGAAGGCCTATCTGAGCCAAGGGGAGCGCTTCATCAAATGGGATGATGTAAGTGGGGCAGGGGCCTCGGCTGCTAGGGGGAGGGGTGCAGGGTGACGGGGCCAGGCTGCTAGTGGGCTTTGCTGGTGTGGGAGGGTTGGTTTATGTCTCCTAGGACCCAGGCGCCTGTGTAGCTTGGCCAGGCAGCCGACACAACTGCCTGGATAAACAAGCCTGGGCTGCGAGTGTGCACCGGAGGTAGTCTCTTTGGGTCTGGATCTGTCCTCCCCCAACCCCCGCCAAGAAGAGCAGGGCTTGTTACTCCTGGCTTCAAGCTGGTGGGCAGAAATCACCCCTGGAGCTGAGGCAGGGCCAGGAGAGGTGAGACAGGCCCTCACCCCTAGCACGGGGATTCTGCTTCTGCTCTGGCAGGGTGCCCACACCTGACTCCTTCACCCCTTGCCACTGGGCACTGTCCCTGTCCCAGGGAAGCCCTGCTCTCCCTGAGGTGCATGGGGGCAGCCACAAAAGGCCTCTGGACCCAAGTGAAAACAGGAGGCTTCTGCTGCCAGGGGCCTGGGAAGGACTTAATTGACTTCAACTTCCCCTTGCTGGGAACAGCCTTGCCCCCCGATGCCTGCCTGTCTGCAGGGGAAGGGGAAGGCGCTGCTTTGCCCTGTGCGCCTGTCGCCACTGTGTCTGCTGCTTCCTAAACTGGGACTGCGCCCAGCCTCAGGTCCTCCTTACTCTAAAAATGTTGCTGCAGGCCAGGGGTTCTCTTGGGCTGGGGGGAACAATGTGGGGACCCTCCTTCAGGGAGGGGAGGCTGTGGGCTGCCCCCATGAGATTCAGATAAATGAAGCCTTCGTCAGGGACAGGAGCGGGCCCTTATGGCTGGCTTGGCCATCTTATGGTGGAATGAGGGCATCTGGGCATTCAGGGTTGGGCTAGGCTGAGGAATCTGGCTGCCCTGACTATGGGAAGGGCCCTGTGGTGAGATGCTTCCTGCTTCCTAGCAGAGATGCGGTTGATGTGGCATGGTGGGGGCATGGAGGTAGCATGCCCCATGAGCCTGTGGGATGAGGGAAGTGGCTCAGAATGAAAACTAAAGCAGCCTTTCTCAGTTCCTCTGGGCAGTGTGTGTAACCTGACTGGGCAGTGGGAAACCAGGGCTGGGGACCTGCTATGCAGCCTTCTCCCCAAGCCAGCACCTGTGTACCTGGCTGCTCCCTTTCCCTCTCCAAGGTGGGGCACTGCATGTTCCCTGGATCCTGCATGAGCAAGACTGTCCCAAGCCTTGTCACAGGGCACATGCACCTATGAGATAGGACTCTCCTTTCAGACTGCATTTGGCCTGGTTAGCAGATGACATGGGTATATTGTGCCATGTTGAATAAGCACAATGCATAGGATATAATAAAATTCTGACTTTATTTAGTCTCCTACGGCCCCTTTACAATACACTGGGTGGGAGAAGCTCTCCTCCTGGCCATGGAAGGAAACTCAGCAGCCACAGGACATTGTATTTACTCTTGGATAATAGTCCAATGGTCACTATTAATCAGAAAACCCAGTCCTATTTCAGAAACTGGTTATAATCGAAACTCCAATGTTAATTCGGAGTTACATCTTCTACCCTCCTCCCTCTAGGAATGGGTTCAGGTGGGCTGCTGGCCTTCTAGAAGGGCCTTGGTGGGACTCCCTGCTCCTCCTCCAGGCCCGTCAGGGGCCGGGTTACAGAGAGGAAGGTGGGACAGGGGTAACAATGTTCTCTCTTGAATGGTGCTAGCATAAGCTGGCTCCTGCTTTCTGAGCACAGCAGAAGCTCAAAGCTCATTCTTTTTCTCGTGGACATTTTTGAGGATTCTTGGGAGACCCTCCTCCCAAACTGAGGATCTCTTTCTTGAGGTCCTCTGACATCTCTATTTTATGTGGTCACTCACAATTACTTCAGCCTTTGTTACCACTTTCAACTTCCTGTGGCTTTGGACCCTCTGTCCCTCTCTCTTCAAAGGGCCCACTCTGGACCCCAGCAAACACTCATGCATCCGCTGTCCTAACACACTGTGGGGGTGCAGGATCCCCCAACACGCCAGCATCTCTCTGCTGTGCCTCATGCAGAGTCAGCCCTTCTGTAGCCCACGTGGTTTCCTGGGTGGGGGGTCTGGCCTCAGTCCATTGTGCCCCTCAAAAGCTCGCCAAGTAGAGTTGAAACCCCTCACTATGCTTAAGGTGAGGGATCAGGCACCCCCAACCCTCCCTTGGGGAGGAAGGTAGCTGTCAACACAACTTTCTCTAAAATTGGCTTCCTCACAAAATCTTCTCTTTCCCCCATACTCTAACCACCCCTGATCTGAGAACAACTCTTTGATCACTTCTTTTGTAAATGCTGCATTTGGTCTGGTTTAGCATGTGGCAACTATCATGGCTGTTGGATGCTTTAATTTTAAAATCTTGTTATATGTACATACAAAGACCATTAATATAAAAAGTAGCCTATGTGCTCTGTGAGTGAGTGGAACAGGAATTTAGAAGGTGAGTTCATTCACTCATCCATTCATTTGCTCATTTGGCAAACACCAAGCTCCTGGTCTAGCACAGCTTGCTGCCCAGGAGTCCATGAGCCCCTGGGGATTTCCTAGGGGGGCTTCTAGGTCTGTGAACCAGCCCCCAACCTCAGATTATTACAGCACATTTCAGGGAAGCCTTTTCAGAAGGGGTGGGGTGAGGTATGCGTTAGTTGTTGAAAGTATTTCAGGCAGAGGACGTTTGGGTGCTCAAGTTTGGGAGGTGGGAAGGCACTTGGTGTTTTTATGGGACAGTTGCATGGATGGAAGGCATTCGTGGAGGGGAGGGTGTCCGTGGAGGGGAGGCTGGAGCATGCAGGCAGTTAGGCTACAGCTGGATTGGGTGGGGCCTTGGGTGTAGGTGCAGGAGTTTGGGCTGTCCTGGATGGTAGCGGAGAGATTTATTGGGGAAAGACATTCTATCCCTTTGGCCGAGCCATGACTCTTGAGACTACAATAAAGTAGGGGCCAAGACCTTGTTTGGGGTCTACAAAGAGAACCTCTCTTTGGGCCTTAGAAGGAAACCTCTTCTCTCCCAGAAACAGCAGCCCCAGTCCACTATTCATCCCAGCGCTTAGCTCTAGAGAACAAAGGGAAATGCCTTCAGATTCCTGGGAAGGGCACTTTCTAGGAATATGATGGGCTCTGAAACCCCTGACCTGGGCCGGGAGCTTGGCCTGAGGTCTCAGAACAGAGATTCCTTCTCTCTGCAGGAAACGACAGTCGCCTCCCCGGTTATCCTCCGTGTCGATCCCAGGGGCTATTACTTATACTGGACGTATCAGAGCAAGGTGAGGAGGCCCAACCTGCCATGGCCCTGACCGAGCTCCTGCTGTGCACTGAGGCCAGGCAGCCTCCTGGCGGCACAGGGTGGAGGCAGGGATGCTGGAGAGTAGAGAATGACCTGGAAGGGTGGCCTTAGGGGCTCTTCTGCGGGCAGGGAGGGCTGTTTGCTCTAGAAGGAAGGATGTGGTCACTCCAACCCACAGCTGCCTCGGGCCCAGATGCTCCAGCCTTAGCGTCCCTTCGGGAGACAGAGAGAGAAAGGAAAAAGAGCCGCCACTGATGGCTGTTGCTCACCCTGTGACCCTGGGCTAACGCGAGGGTTTGGAGAGAAGAGGGAAAAGCCCCAGCAGCCGGGCAGAAGGAGGGGAAGGGGACCCGGCAAGGGTCCAGGGCGGTGGAGGAGAGACTGTTGGCCACAGCTCCTGTGTGAGGAAGGAACGGACAGAGGGGAAGGCGAAGGCCCCCACCTGGTCTGTGGGAGGGTCGGGGTCCGGGTGGTCCCAGGTAGTCTTGGCATCTAGAGAGGGCAGCGGGCCAAGATCTGAACAGGTGTGGAAGCTCCCTTCTCCCTGTTCTTCATTCTGAACTGGGCTTTTTCTCCTGGGTGCCTTCTTCGCTGTCACTGGGAGCCCCTCTAGGAGATGGAGTTTCTGGACATCACCAGCATCCGGGACACCCGCTTCGGAAAGTTTGCCAAGATACCCAAGGTAGGTGGGCCCGGTAGCGGCCCAGACTCAGTGCAGCCACCATCTCCAGGCGGCAAGGGCAAGAGTCCCTGCGGGGTGGGAAGCCTGATCTCTGGAGCAAGGGGAATGGTTCCTCGGCTGTGCAGCCTGATCCGGCCCTGAGCCAAGGAAGGGGCGTGGCTGCTCCTGGGCTTGGCTGGGCTCCCAGGTTCAGAGCCTCTGGGCACAGTGAGGGAGAGGTGAGGATCTGGGAAGGGTGCCAGCTCCTGCCCCTAGAGCACCCCAGACTGTCTGAGAGGTGCGGCTTACTACTCCACCCTCTGACTGGTTTGCCTGTATTTGCTTAATGTTGGTAGGAAAATTGCAGGAAGGGACTGGCGGGAGGCAGGATTCCCTGAGACTGGGAGCTAAGACTCCACCTTCAAACAAAAGTGGCAAATAAAAGATATGGGACTCCCAGGCCCTGTAGCCTTGGTTCATCTCTTCCTATGGGCCTCTCCTTCCCACCCAGCTCTGGAATCAGGGGCAGGAAGATGCTGAGACCTGTGGTTCCTAGGATGGAGATGGGATTCTGCCCCCGTGGGCCATAGGTTGAGGGCTGAGAGGAAGGGACAGGGAGAGCCACACAGGGCAGGGATGGAGCACAGCCCCCATTCTAACCACGTCACCACTTGCTGCAGAGCCAGAAGCTCCGGGATGTCTTCAACATGGACTTTCCTGACAACACCTTCCTGCTGAAGACACTCACAGTGGTGTCTGGCCCTGACATGGTGGACCTCACCTTCCATAACTTCGTCTCCTACAAGGAGAACGTGGGCAAGGTGCGCCAGGGATCACCTGGCCTGGGTCTTGGCACCTGGGAGAGCCAGGACTTCCTGAGAGACACAGGCCTGGGCCGTGGGGTGGTCGGGAGCACCCTTGTGTTCGGGGGCCTGACCGCTATGCTCCGTGGTCCTGCAGGTCTGGGCTGAGGATGTACTGGCCCTGGTGAAGCACCCACTGACGGCCAACGCCCCCCGCAGCACCTTCCTGGACAAGATGTAAGTTTGCCTTCCTGTCTGGCCTCGGCCCTGGGGGCTCAGCGCTGGCCCCAGGCCCTGACAGGCTGCTCTCTGCCCCTCAGCCTCGTGAAGCTCAAGATGCAGCTCAGCCCCGAAGGCAAGATTCCTGTGAAGAAGTGAGTCTCCCTAGCGCCCTGCCCACACACCACCCAGCCCCCACAAAGCCTTCCCTCTCCAGACCTGGATCCTCTCTCTGCCTGCTGCCTTTCTTTGCCCCTTCAGTTTTTTCCAGATGTTTCCTGCTGACCGCAAGCGGGTGGAAGCTGCTCTCAGTGCTTGCCACCTTCCAAAAGGCAAGGTGAGTGGTTCCCCACCCCTGGGCCATGCCTAGTATTCTCACTCCCACCAGAGAGCAACTTGGCCAGGAATGGGGGGCAGGAGCAGAGATGACATCATCGTCCCAGTCAATAGCCTGAAGAGCCAACTAACCCCAGAGGCACTGCTTAGGATACTAGGCACAGAGATGGCGCCAGGGCACGGGGGTGAGATGCTAGGTTCAGGGCAGGTCGTCTGCATCCCCTACCTCTGGGTGGTGGTGGGGCCGGGCACTCAGGGCAAGCAGCAACATGGCATGCAGTCCCATTGTACCTTGGCAATGGAAGCTGAACATGAGTGTTTTCAGCCTGGAGGAGCAAGATAAGGTCAGCAGTGGCAGGAGGCAGTCTGCAGGGATCTGAAAGCTGCAGGAAGGGACTAGTTCTGCAGGGCATGGGGGAGAGGAACGGCACCAAGGGGTGGAAGCCGCCAGGATGCAGACTTTAGCTCAATACAGAAAAGCATTTTTCCTTTCTTTTCAGCTAAATAATTAATCTTTAATTAAAAGTTGTAAGAAAGATCATCACATGAGGTGCCTTATGTGAATTATAGAAAGGAGACCTCAGGGTTCAAGTTTGGCCAAGGGGGTTGACCTCAGTGCCCTATACCCCCTTGGCCAGTGCCCTTGTTTAGGTCTCATCCTGCACCCCATAGAGTATTTTCTCCTGGTAAGAAATTGGAAGTTATAAATAAATAAAACTAAGACCCTTGTTGATCACCTGCTCACATGAATCCAGGAGGAACTTTCCCCATAGTCCCAGCTCTGCAGAGCTGGTGATTCCTTGATGCAGAGTCAGTCACGGGCGATGCAAGCATGGGGTGGGGGAGAGGACAGGAATGGGCCCCTGCTGCAGTCCCTGCAGCCAGCACTGCCTGCCTGTTGTCAGTACACATCTGCCCTCCTTCTCTCCTGTTTCCTGGGCTCCCACCCTTGCTAAATCCTCCCTATATATCTGCTTTCCGTGAGTCCCAGTAGAAGCTACTGCCAGAGCTTGGCTTGGAGCTGCAGCTCTGGAGGCAGGGGTGGATTTGGGGGGACCCAGTCAGGTTCTCCTGCTCAGACCCCCTTCTGCCAACCAAGACCGACACTGGCCTGCCAGCATGACTCTGAAAGACATTCAGTGGGTTTTGGGGGAAGAAATGCAAAGGCACAGAATCCCTGAATACCACTAATCTCTGCTTCTGTTCCTATAGACTTGCCTATTCTGGACATTTCACGTAAATGGAATCATACAATATGTGGTCTTTGATGTTGGGCTTTATTTACTTACCATGTTTTCAAGGTTCATCCATGTGGTAGCATGAATCAGTGCTTCATTCCTTTTCATTGCCAAATAATATTCCATTTCTGGTGTGGATGGACCACATTTTGTTTATCTATTCGTCAGTTGATGGACATTTGGGTTTTCTACACGTTTGCTGTCAACATTGACGTACATGATTTTGTGCTACTGAGCCTGGCCTTCACAAAAGTTTTTAATTTTGATGAAGTCTAATTTTTTTTTTGTCTCCTGTGCTTTTGGTGTCTCCAGTTATTATTGTTGAATTATCTATTTCTCCCTTCAATTCTGTCAGTGTTTTCTTCTTGTATTTTGGGACTCCTGTCAGGCACATGCATGTTTATATACAAATTACTTCTTTATAAGAACTTGTCCTCCACTTTGGGGGAAAAAAAAAGACAGCCCACTGCCCTGGGAAGCAGCACCACTTACTTCCGTCTGCTTTTCTGCCTCATTCTGGTCATTCTTATTTCTAATCCTTCCACAGCTAAGCGACTAGCCACTGTCCAATTTGAGCAAACCAGCTCAGCATGTTCTCTGCTCAGCAAGCAGGGCCTGGAGAAGTGGGTGCTCAGGGTGTCCCTGATGCTCCTGTTTGCCTTGAGCCCTTCTTGTGATCAGGTCCCCTTGCTCAGGGCTGGGCCTAGTTTGTGCTCTGAGAAAGGGAGGGCAGGGGTGACAAGGTGACTATCCTCCCAGAATGATGCCATCAATCCTGAGGACTTCCCAGAACCTGTCTACAAGAGCTTCCTCATGAGCCTCTGTCCTCGGCCAGAAATAGATGAGATCTTCACCTCCTAGTGAGCTTCCTGGGCTGGGCTGGGCTGGGGAAGGGGTGGTGGCCAGCAGTCCTCTCCTCCCCCGTGCCATGCTGAGAATCAGGAGGCCCCATGGAGAAGGGGGTTATCTGAGCCTCTGGGCCCAAGGGACATGGACCTGTGCTCCTCTCTCTGGCCTACAGCCATGCTAAGGCCAAACCCTACATGACTAAGGAGCATCTGACCAAATTCATCAACCAGAAACAGCGGGACTCACGGCTTAACTCCCTGCTGTTCCCGCCAGCACGTCCTGACCAGGTGCAGGGCCTCATCGACAAGTATGAGCCCAGTGGCATCAACGTGCAGAGGGGTGAGGACCAAGGGAATGCCTCACCCGCCACTGTCCTGTTGTGCCCCAGCAGCTGGGCTGCAGCCCTGACAGCTATCCCCTGTCCCCCAGGCCAGCTGTCACCTGAGGGCATGGTCTGGTTTCTCTGTGGGCCAGAGAACAGTGTGCTGGCCCAGGACAAGCTGCTGCTCCACCACGACATGACACAGCCACTCAATCATTACTACATCAACTCCTCGCACAACACCTACCTGACAGGTGGGCCCTGCCGAGCTCATTGTTGACCTCTGCTCCCATCCCCTGAGTCGTCTGCAGGGGTTGCCCACATGCTGCTGACCCTGGCAGTAGCACAGAACGTGATGGAGTGGGGTGGGGTGGGGGGAGCTGGACTGCCCTGGGTGACACCCTGCCCCTTGCCACCCTCTGGCCCAGCTGGCCAGTTCTCAGGCCTTTCCTCGGCTGAGATGTACCGCCAGGTGCTGCTCTCTGGCTGTCGATGTGTGGAGCTAGACTGCTGGAAGGGGAAGCCCCCGGACGAGGAGCCCATTATCACCCACGGCTTCACCATGACCACAGACATCTTCTTCAAGGTGAGACTCAGGGTGTGCAGGCTGGTGGCAGTGGCAGTAGGGAAGGGCCCTTGGCCAGAAGCCTTTTGGAGTTGCGGGGACTTAAGCTAGAGGGAAGGAATGTCTGAAGGCCTTGGACCAATGTGGGGACTAGAGGGCACAGGGACCAACACTGGCCATCCAGTTATATGAGTGGGGAAGGTGCCATGGCAGGGGCAGCCAGAGCACTGTCCTTCTGCCCACTGGGTGCCCTTCTCCTCCAGGAAGCAATTGAGGCTATTGCAGAAAGTGCCTTTAAGACCTCACCCTATCCTGTCATCCTGTCATTTGAAAACCACGTGGACTCGTGCGTATCCAGGCCCATTCAGCCATAATCTCACCCAGCCCCCAGTCTCCTGCCTGCCACCACCCTCCCCCCAATACTCCCAGCCTCTAGCCCGTCCCTCCAGCTGTCATCCAGTTCTCAACACAATTTCCTTGGGACCCCACATTCTCCTACCTGTGTTCCTGCCTCCCTGACCCCCTGGGCCCGTGATATGGGTCATCAAGGGCACGAAAGTATGGACAAGAAGGTTGGGCTGAGGTGCTGAACCACACCCACCTTTGCTCCCTGCAGACCCCGCCAACAGGCTAAGATGGCCGAGTACTGCCGGACGATCTTTGGGGATATGCTGCTCACAGAGCCCCTGGAAAAGTTCCCAGTGAGTGGACTTCACTGTGGGACATTTGGGCCTGGGGCCTGGGGCAGGTGGGGGCCAGGTTAGGGAAGGGGATGTCCCCAGAGAATGCTGGGGTTCACTTGGTGGGATTGTAGGGATGGGATCCTGTCACCTACCATGTTTCAGGCACCGTGCTGGGCTTTGGGGTATGTTAGTGACAAAGACACAGTCCCTGCCCTCAGGTTTGTTACCTTCCAGTGGGGAGACAGACAAATAACCAGGCCATTACAACCTAGTGGTTGTTAAGGGAGTACCTGAGGAGTTCTGATCTGGTCTTGGGGGGCTCAGGGAAGGTTTCCTGTAGGAAGTGATGGCTAAGCTGAAACCTGAGGGATAAACTGGTTTATCTCTGCAAGAATAAGGCTGAGGGGAGCAGTGAGAGGCAAGTTGAGAAGTGGAGGGCAGAGGGAGCACACTTGGTATTAAGGAGCTTGGGCTATACTTCGAAGGTGAGGAACTGCCTCCCCTCTCTACAGCTGGAACCAGGCCTCCCCCTGCCCAGCCCCCAGGATCTCAGGGGCAAGATCCTCATCAAGAACAAGAAGAACCAGTTTTCTGGCCCTGAATCCCCCAGCAAGGAGTCTGGTGGGGAGGCTGAGGGCAGCTGCCCTCCCAGTGCCTTGGCTGGCGAGGACACAGGTGAGTCCAGAGAGGACTGGGTGGAAGAGCAGAGGAGCAGGGCCCGAGGACCCTGCTGGGCAGCCTGTGTGACAGAGCTGTGTGTGACAGTATGGGCTGGTGAAGAAGGGCCTGAGCTGGAGGAGAAAGAGATGGAAGAGGAAGAGGAGGAGTCGGGAAGTCTGGATGAAGAGGAGATAAAGAAGATGCAGTCAGATGAGGTGTGTGGGGACGGTCCCCAGGCCCTTGTGCCATCCTCCACTGCAGGGCCCTCGGGGTAGGGGCCCTGGGGCTGCGTTCCTGGGCTCCGGACTGCCCTCCTCTTCTTACCTCCTCTTCTTCCCTCCTCTCTCCTCTCTAGGGCACTGCAGGCCTGGAGGCGACGGCTTACGAGGAGATGTCCAGTCTGGTCAATTACATCCAGCCCACGAAGTTCATCTCCTTCGAGTTCTCTGCCCGTAAGTTGGCACGAGTGCTGCTGCTGCTGGTGGCGAGTGGAGGTTAGGCTAGATTCAGAAGGTTGTCCTGAGACCAGAGGAAAGGGAATCTCCCCCTTCCTTGGACTTGGGGCCCTGTCTATAAATACCCAGCCAAGGAGTCAGGCAAAGGCCTTGTTTAAGTGGCAGTGGCTCCCAGTTTCCCAGCACTGTACTGAGGAACTTGGCGCCAAACAGAATGCTCTGGAGTGTGTCGGTGACTGACAGGCCGCCTCAGCCAGAATGGCCCAAGGTCTTCTGCAGCCTCCTGCAGGTTCTGTGGCTCCCAGGGGTGAACTGTGCCTTGGGCGGGCCCAAGCCCAGAAGCCTGGGCCCTGGGAGATGAGACCTCCTGGGAGCGGCTGGAAGGCAGAGAAAGCCACCTGCGAACAATGCCCCTCATGCCCTTCCACTTCTGTGCACTTCTATTTACTTTTATCTTCCCTGGACACAAGCACAGTGCATTCCTCTCACTCTGTGTGCATGTCCGCAGTATGAGCACCTCTTTCTGTACACTCCTGTGCACAGCTGGACCTCTGCAACTTTGACTGCTCACCCTTGAACCCACAGCCTGCACCCCCTCCTGGGCTCAATCATGGCAGTACTACCCTTAGTGTACCCCTCCCCCCCCCACGTGTTCAGCCATAGCTTGCACGATTCACTCCCTGCGCACACTGCAGCACATGCTCATACTCTGTGTGTGTGCACAGCAATTACTGACCCCCTGGGCTCAGCCCAGCATGTTCCCCACACCCTCTGTGCCCATCCACGGCATGTGGCCCTCACCGTCCAGAACCGCGGCCCACATCGCACCCCGTGCATAGCACTGCGAGTACCCTTCACCCCTAGCAGGCACTGTTACCCACACGTTTCCTCCAGAGCTTGGCCCCTAAGCCCTCAGGCCTCCATGGAAATACTGGGGTGGAGGCACCTCTGTGCTGGCGGGAGCTGCCCCCCATGGGATGCCAGGGCTGAGGGAGAGGGCAGCCTGACAGGGGCACTCCCCGCTTTCTCCCCTATACAGAGAAGGACCGAAGTTATGTCATCTCCTCCTTCACGGAACTCAAGGCTTATGACCTGCTCTCCAAGTCCGCAGTGCAGTTTGTGGAGTATCCTTGAGGCTTCAGTAGTCAGGATCCTTGGCTGGGGTGGGGGATGGGGGGAGGCCAGGGGACAGAGCTCCCAGGGTAGGCGGTTGGGTCCTCCTGGTGCAGGCAGCTTCGGGCTGGGCTCCTATACTCAGGGGGCAGCTACAACAAGCGCCAGATGAGCCGCATTTACCCCAAGGGAACCCGCATGGACTCCTCCAACTATATGCCCCAGATGTTTTGGAATGCTGGATGCCAGATGGTCGCCCTTAACTTCCAGACGATGGGTGAGGGAACTCCCAGGACCCTAAGAATCTTCCCCTGGCCCCTGCCCCTCCCACCTTTACATCACCCCTGGGGGGTCTTTAGAACAGATGGGGGTGTTCCGATGTTTGTTTAGGCTCTGGGAGCACGCTCAGGTATAAATGCATTAGTTCATGCCTATATCACTGCACACAGACGAACATGCGTGTGAAGACGCCTAGGTGCTGGCATAGGTCCTGGCCGCTCTGCCTGAGTGTGTCTGTGGGAACACCTGCTCCACCTGCCCCAACTCCCACTGCCAGCTTTCGGCCTGGTTGTGGCTTTGCTCCTTACTGACTCCAGGCTGCAGACCCTTCCTGAGAGATGAGACAGCCCAAGGAGCCAGGCTGGGACAGGAGAAACCCTGACCCTCACAGTCTGCCCCACTTCCCCATTCGCCAGACAAGAAAGGCTGGGATGTGTAGGAAACAGAAACTGAGCACAGACCCAGGGCCAGGCCTTTCTCACCTAGCTCCCTTGTCCCTCCAGACCTGCCCATGCAGCAGAACATGGCGCTGTTTGAGTTCAATGGGCAGAGTGGCTACCTCCTCAAGCATGAGTTCATGCGCCGGCCGGACAAGCAGTTCAATCCCTTCTCAGTGGACCGCATCGACGTGGTGGTAGCCACCACCCTTTCCATCACGGCAAGGCCCTGGGGCAGAGAAGTGGCCAGGAGGGCTGGGGTCTTGAGGAGAATGGCATGGGAGCCCACCCTTCCACTCCCAACCCTTCCTCTAATATCCTGAAAACTTCAGCCCCAGCCAGTTCATGCAGTAGCAAGTTGCCTTGGAAACTGCCTCCTCCTCAGCACTGGAGGCTGCCACTTGGTCACCATGGAAACCAACGGGAAGGGTTGAGGCTGGGGTGGGGGAGGGGGAAGAGTGGGCAGAGTGGGCAGCAAGATCCCCAGCCTGGGGGAGGGCATTGTTCTCTCCTGGGCTGGGGAGGGAGGTGGAAGGCCCATGTCTCGCCTTCATGCTGGAAGCACTTGGTCCTCAGAGCTTAGCTGTAATCCTTGAGCCACACAGACCCTACTCGATGGCCAGAGCTGAATGGGGTTCTTCACAACAGCCAAGAATGGATGCTTCAGCTATAGGGAGCCAGTGGCCCCTGGTGCTTAGGGAAGAGCCTGGGTGGGGATCTGATGCTGGCCTCCCATGCCCCACCCCAGGTGATCTCTGGGCAGTTCCTATCAGAACGCAGTGTGCGCACCTACGTGGAAGTGGAGCTGTTTGGCCTTCCTGGGGACCCCAAGAGGCGCTATCGTACCAAGCTGTCACCCAGTACTAACTCTATCAATCCTGTCTGGAAGGAGGAGCCCTTTGTCTTCGAGAAGGTGGGGGCTAGGGCAGGGCAGGGGCTGGGGTCTGCCCCTAGTTCTTGGCCTCTACTTACAGATAAGAGGAAGTAAATAAAGGTAGCTCCTTGACCTTCCGTCTCCTCTCCCCACCCCCATCCTGTGCCCTCCTGAGTTTGAAGAGTCCAAAACCCAAGTTTACAGACGTTCACTTGGTTTTGTGCGTGTGTGAGTGTGTGTGTGCATCCATGTACATGTTAGGATTAGAGGCAGAAATGTGAACTGCCAGCCTTGGGTTGAGGGTCTCATGGGATCATGAGGGTCTTTTGTCTCCATTGGATAGCTGTTGGCAAGGCTGCCAAGGGCAGTCTGCACTAGGTCCCCACAGCCCTGGGCTGCATATCCAGCCTTTCTCCCCTGTGTGAGACCAGCCATGGCATGAGCTGTGAGGATGTCTATGTGTTGTGGCCTACAGAGTGCCCTCTGTCCTCACCAAATCTGGTAACACCCGCCATGTTCTCACACTGATGCTAAGAGTTCTGGAGCCAGGGAGGGGGGTAACTTGGCTCCCTTCCCCCTCCCCAGCCTGTCCTGTTCCAAACTCTCCCCAGATCTTGATGCCTGAGCTGGCCTCCCTCAGGGTGGCTGTGATGGAGGAAGGCAACAAGTTTCTCGGACATCGCATCATCCCCATTAATGCCCTAAATTCTGGTAAGGAGAGGAGTCCATCTTTGCTATTCCTAGGGGTCAAAAACCAAAGCCAGCATCAGAAGCCTGCCTAAAGGGTGGGGCAGCTTCCAGGAGGACACTGAGATCTTACCTAAAACCCTCATGTCATCAGCCCTAGGGAGTGGGGCAGGAATAGCACCCCTCCAGGAACCTCATAGAGGTGGGAACTCTGCCCACCTAACAGAATGTCTGTAATTTTCTGAAACTACTGGGGCAGTTTCCCAAGTAGCTTATGTTTATGGGCACTTAAAATGTGCTGAGAGCATATAACACATTCTCACTTAATCCTCACATGAGGCAGACACTCTTATCTCCACTCCACAAAGGAGGAAAGTCTCAGAGAGTTAAAGTAACCTGCCCAAAGTCACAGAGCCAGGATAGGGCAGTGCCAGATTCAGGTCCTTGAGCCGAGGGCTGTTTGTGTGCAGTGATGGATGGCAATGGGCTCTGGTTCACTGTCTGCCCCACCATGCCCAATAGGGTACCACCATCTGTGCCTGCACAGCGAGAGCAACATGCCCCTCACTATGCCTGCGCTCTTCATCTTCCTGGAGATGAAGGACTATGTACCTGATACCTGGGCAGGTAGGAGCCCATGGCATGCTAGGAGCCCCCGTCCCCCCTCATCAAGCCAGCCTCCAGAGTGGGGCAGGACAGGGCATCCTGGAGTGGGTGAGGACAGGAGAAGCTTCCAGGTACATCTCCATACGTACCAGTCGGGTAATGCCCTGTGCACCCAGATCTCACCGTGGCCCTCACCAACCCCATAAAGTTCTTCAGTGCCCATGACAAGAAGTCTGTGAAGCTCAAGGAGGCCATGGGAGGCCTGCCTGAGGTCTGTGTTGTGGGGGCCACTGCCGGGGAGAGGGGGGCTTCCAGGAGCTTTGCCCTCTTGTAGGGGCAGGGGAGGGGGCAAAGTCCCAGGGCTCAGGGAGAGAGGGGTCCTCAGAGCCACTTCCTAACCTGCTCTTCCTACACAGAAGCCCTTCCCACTCGGGAGTCCACTTGCCAGCCAGGCCAATGCGGCAGCAGCCCCAACGAGCAATGGGTCAGCAGGTATGCACTCCGGGGTCCCCCACCTACTGGAAGGGCCTCCACATTCTCGGCTGCACCCACAGGCACAGGAAAGGGCTGTGTCTGAAACCTGGGTGCTGGGAAAGAGCTGCAGGGGGCTATACTGCAACTCCCAGGGGACAGAGCGGTAGGGGGGCGGGTGTGGTGGTTGGTGGGGGTGTTGGTGGTGGTGGGGTGGGGGGTGGGGAGAGGAGCCAACTGAGTCAAGAGGCCCCAGGCACGTGCCAGTCCATCCTGTTTCTTCTGCAGCCCCTGCCGTCGTCGCGGCCAGAGCCAGGGAGGAGGCCAAGAAAGAAGTCGCGGGTAAGGCTGGCTGAACCCCGGGGATCTTGGGGACGAGCCTGGGGACGGCCTGGGGCTCCTGGCGGGCTAGAAGGGCAGGGCGGCCTGGGCGGCGAGGCGCCTCACCCGGGCGTCCGCAGAGCCGAGGACCGCCAGCCTGGAGGAGCTCCGGGAGCAGAAGGGCGTCGTGAAGCTGCAGCGGCGGCACGAGAAGGAGCTGCGGGAGCTGGAGCGGCGCGGCGCGCGGCGCTGGGAGGAGCTGCTACAGCGGGGCGCGGCGCAGCTGGCCGAGCTCGGGCCGCTGAGCACCGGCGGCGGCGGCGGAGGCCGCAAGCTCGGCCCTGGCAAGGGCTCCCGTAACAAGAGGTAAGGGCCACGGCGACGGCCTGCCCTCCGCGACGCGCGGGCGGCGGGGGCGGAGGGCTCAGGGCCTGTCGCCACGTGGCCTCCGCAGAACCGTGCCCAGCGAGGAGAGCGCCCGGGCCGGGCCGGGAGAGGGCCCCGAGGGCACGGATGCGCGTGTGCGCGAGCTGAGGGACAGGCTGGAGCTGGAGCTGTTGCGGCAAGGCGAGGAGCAGTACGAGAGCATCCTGAAGCGCAAGGAGCAGCACGCGGCTGAGGTGCCAAGTGGGGCGACCACCCAACCAAGCCCACTCCCTCTGTGCCACACGGGGCTTCTCCCCAAGCCCTTCCTTCCTCTCCCCGCAGCAAATGGCCAAAATGATGGCGCTGGCCACTGAGAAACAGGCGGCAGAGTTGAAGTCCCTCAAGGAGGCCTCAGAGATGTACGGATGCCTCCTTCCCACATCCAACCCTCGCCTCCCAGCAAGGGCTTGGGCCCCATGAAACATCACCCTCTTGTCTGTCACTCTGCAGGGACACCAAGGAGATGAAGAAAAAGCTGGAGGCCAAGAGGCTGGAGCGGATCCAGGCCATGACCAAAGTCACCACAGACAAGATGGCCCAGGAGAGGTGAGCCCTGGAGGGGAGGCCCAGTGCTGGGCAGACCCCACCCCAGGTGGAAAGGGGCCTCCCTGCAAGTGCATCCCGACTGGCTTCCCAAAGATGTGCCTCTCCCCTGGCTCTTGAAAAAGTTGATCCCACCTCTGTCACCTCTGATCTGAGAGTATCCTCCTTAGGCAAAACACAGATGCCAACACTGCTTGGACAGAGGGGCGCGCTGGAGGGAAATCAAGCCTGCAAAGAGGGAGCTGAAGCCCTGGGACGGCAGCCTGGCCACTCAAGTGGCTCTGCTTCCCGCGGGTGCTTCCCATGGAAGCCTTGAAGAACAGTGTGTTTTAGTGAGGAAGCTGTTCCCTCAGAAGGCCCCCAGGCTGCCAGTGGCCCCCTACATCCTCCTTGGGTCCCCATGCTTTCCCTTCTGTCTGGTTCCTGTTCCTGTGATGGATTTCTCATTTGCCTACACCCTGAGGAGACTTCACCTCACTCAACTCTCCCCAGGGGCCTCCTGCCCTTTCTAAAACTCCAATTACACCAACAGGTTGAAGAGAGAGATTAACAACTCCCACATCCAGGAAGTGGTGCAGGTCATCAAGCAGGTGTGTAATGGCTGTGTCCTTCACACACATTCTCTCTCTATCCCCTCCCCGCCTCCAGCGATGGGAAGGGGCAGCCCCAGGCCCTTACTTTGCTGTGAGGAGATGTATTGTCCAGAGCCGTGCATGCAGCTAGGGGTGGGAGGGGGCATCCCTGGGTTCTGGCCTGGGTATGGAGGCTGAGGTACCAGCCTGAAGGTCTTTCTCTGGCCAGCTCCCCTACATGGGAACAATACAGGCTAGCTGGCTAGGGCAGGATGGGGCTGGAGTGGGTGAGTGAAAAGCAAGTGAGAATGGCTTCCTGAGGTGCCGAGGAGTTGCAAGAGGAAGGAAGAGGAAGGCTCTGCTGAGAATGGACCCAAAGCTCCCCTGGGGTTATTAACCACAGTAACAGAGCTGCCATCTACTGAGGCCTGCCCTTGTGCTAGGCGCTATGCCAGAAGCTTCACACCAACTGTCTCATTTAATCCTTTATAATCCAGAGAGACAGGTACTACTGTCCTCATTTTACAAATTAAAAGGACTGCCCAAAGGTTAAGGAGTTTGTCCAAAGTCTCACAAGGGGTTAGCTGGGATTACAGCTGGATTCCAATGCAGGCTGCCTGTCCTGCTGTCCTGACTCCCTGCCTCTCGCTCCTGCCCAGATGACGGAGACCCTGGAGCGCCACCAGGAGAAGTTGGAGGAGAAGCAGGTGGCCTGCCTGGAACAGATCCGGGAGATGGAAAAACAGGTAACAGCCCGCTGCCCTAACCCCCAGCAGAGCTGGACAGGCTCCAGGCTGTGAAAGAGCCCTACTCCAGGGAGCTGCCAGTCAGGAGGTCAGGAGAAGGGGGACATCATCCCTCCCCAGTGGGTCCCAAGGCGCTCTCCAGTGAGGCGGCTGTGCAGATCTCTCTGCTTGGGTGGCGTTTCCTGTCCTGCGAGGCTCCCTGATGGGCTCCCCCACCCCCTCCCTCCCACCCCAGTCTCCTGGAAGCTCTGAAAAAGGAGCCTGGGCTTCTCTTTGTTCCACTGCCCAAGGAGGGAGAGAGGCAGGGGGCTCCTCCTCAGTGTGGTCCTTGCTGTCCCCACAGTTCCAGCAGGAGGCGCTGGCAGAGTACGAGGCCAGGATGAAAGGTCTGGAGGTGGAGGTGAAGGAGTCGGTGAGGGCCTGCCTCAGGACCTGCTTCCTTTCCGAGGCCGAGGACAAGCCTGAGAAGGCCTGCGGGGCCTCTGGGGAGCTGCGTGAGCAGCACCCACTCACAGCAAAGGCCGACGTCCAGGACAGCCGCCTCTGATGCCCCCATCCCACTGGGACATTTAGCAAGGATGTTCAGACCCTTCTCTGGGACGTGACTCTATCCCCCCAGGAGAACAGAGCCCCAGCACCCTGAGACTATGGGAGGCTGGGTCTCCCGTGGATGATGCAGTCCCCTCCTCAATAGCGAGCACAAAGGAGAAGGCAGGAGGCAGGTACCATTAGGGCAAGGACCTTTCTGGGCCTAGAAGTCTTCTCCAAGCTGACTTGCTGCTCTCCATCCTTCTCCCTGATCTCTGGATAAGTGTAGTATATTTGTTGAGGGCAAAAGAATATAGATTGGGAAGCTGGAAATGGGATCCTGGCCCTGTTCTGCCTTTCCTAGTGCGCAACTAGTGGTATCCCACTCTGAGCTCAGTTTCCTCACCTGGAGGTTTGGACCTACCCACCTTGGCACTTCACTCTGGTACTTGTGGTTCAAGTGGAACCAAACCCAAACCCCAAACCCTCTTTCCCCAGTGTGGGCAGCTCAACTGGGCTTCCAGGCCCCATCTCAGGCCTCGCTGTCAGCTCCTTGAGGCAGAGTCTGGCACTACCTCGAAGCTCTCTGGGATGGCCTCTCCCAGGATCCCTGGCTGAGGTCCCTTCCCTCACCTTCTGCCTGTTGGGGATGGAAGGTTGACATGGAAAAGCTGCCTCAGCTGACTGGCCCCTCAGCTGCTGAGTCATGTGAGGTGGTGGCCTCTCAGGCACCCTCCCACTCTGAACGCGGCATCACCCCTCGGCCTGGCGGCGGGCACTTCCTAGCATGCACCCCACTCAGGCTGCCTGACAAGGTTGGCATCATTTTCTATCCTGAATTTGTGAGGTTTATTTATTTTTCTCCTTCCTATTCCTATTAAAGAACCCTATTCCAATATTTCCTGCCTAAGTCTGGCCTCTGTTCTATAGCTAGGAAATGGAGGGTGGGCAGGGGAGTGGAGTGCCCCTGAACTAAAACGGGCTAGGGAAAAAAACCCTTGGGAGCTGACCCCAGGGTGAGGTCCCTTCCAAAGCTCAGTGAAATAGCCCTGCCTCTGGGCTTGAAGAGGACTTACTTCTCCTTCCGCTGGCCCTGATGCCACAACCACTGGAAAATGATGTCACCTCCTCTTTACTCCCACCACAGATGTGGCCTTTCCTTGTCTCCACCCTCAAGGCTGGAACAGAAGAGCTTAGGGCAAAGGTGCTCCTCACCCTCTTGGGGAGTCCCAAACCTCTAGGCCATCTGGACCCCTTTTTAGGGAAGACTTAGAGCAATCAGATGCTCAGGGCCTTGTGGCAGCTATGGTTGGCCCCAAAACTTGCTGTAGAGGGGCTTGTGAGAAGCCACCATTCACTGTACCTATGGCATAATCCCAAATCCCAGGTGGGCACAGTCACTGGCTTGGGAGAGGCAGAGTGGGGGCTGGTTCTGGGAAGAGGTTGTTTTCTCATCGGAGTTATAGCAAATACCATTAGCCGGGAGCACCTGTGCCTCAGAAAATAAACATGTCCCCCATCCCTCAGGAGGGTCTGCTCTTTGGGACCCTACTGGGTCCTGGCTGCAGGGTGAGGCAAGGGAGCCTGCTCATTCGCAAGACTACGTACGGCCTGGCACTGATCAGACTGGATACAGCCGGGGAAGACACCAACACCCCGGGCACTGCCCTGTCTTTGACCCTCCAGGCAGGCTCTATGCCACTCCTCCTTTACCTCTCCTTCCACCTCCAGGGGTAGAACGTGAAAGGATGAGGATCCAGGCCTAGAGGAACTGGCCCAGGCAGTGTGCATAAGCCAGGGCCAGACGAACTGGAGCCCACCGGGCAGCCCCCAGCTCTTGCCAACGACTGCTCAGGAGGAGGAGCTGCCTTCCCCTGGCCTCCGGGCCAGGCTGGGCAGACTCTGTGCCCCTAGTCTGGAGGTGGGCAGCCCAGAAATGGGGAAGGTGATGCAATCCTGCCCCCTGGAGAGGCCTCAGCACAGCAGGCTGGGGGCTTCCCATGTGGCCAGGCCTGGATACTTATCTCCCTGCTTTCTGTCCTCTGAAAAAAGGACAAAGTGTCTCCTGGGCAAATGCCATCTCTGGGCCCCAGAGATGAATTAATCTCTGGCTGCAGGGAATGTGCAGAGGAAGAGTTGATGCCTTCCCTCAGGGCACTGGGGCAGGTGAAGGGCACCTGGGTCCTGTCCCTGCCATGTATCTGTGGGACTGGGGCAAGGTTCCCGTTCCGTTGATCATGCCTCAGTTTCACCTTTTGCACAAGGAGAAGGGTCCCTATCCCTTTCCCAATCCCATTGCTGACTCAGACGCGAGTCCCCTGCTGACTCACCCCACCCCCTGCACCCCCCAGCAGCCCTCTGGATCTCCCAGACACGTGCCACCAGGCCCAACCCTGCGGAGCTGGTGCAACGTGACATGGTGAGGGGGCTGGTGACACTTGAGGAAAGGAGCCCAGGGGGAGGCAGTGGCAGACAGAGTGACAGACCACACTGAGGTGCCTCTGGGAGGAAGCCCTTTTGCCAGCCTGGGGCCTGCTGGGGGACAGGCTCAGCAGGTGGGAGGGGAGGAGGAGTGTGGAGTGCCTGCCTGCCCCCTGCCTGCCTCGGCTTCATCTCCTGTCAGCCTTCAGCTCCCTAAGCGACAGCTTCTAATTCCGGCTGTTGGTGCCTCTGTGCTCTGCAGCAAAGTCTCAGCTTTTTTTCAGCTTTGCTGTTTCTTTTCTGTTCATAACATACTGAGCCCATAGGGTAGTCAAAGCAAAGGCTCCGGGACCTGAGACCTGACACCCCACCCCCATCCTGCCACGGGGCCTGGCTGGGTCGGTGATGCCAGCTGGGGCAAATGGAACCAGCTGCTCCTTCCAAAGGGCACCCAGTACAGTGCTCTCTATCCTGACTCCTCTTCCCTGAACTGTCTCAATCCACCACAGGGAACAGGGACATAAATCAAGTGGAGTTGTCTCAGGGAGGCTCGAGGAGGAGGGGCATGGCTCTTCAGGACCAAGGGGGTGGCCATTCTGGGTTTCTGCTGCTGCTCTCCACCTGGGAGTGCACGGCCTGCCACACATAGATTCCAGGGGTACTCCCTCCCCTGACCCTGCTAACAGAGAGAAGGGAAGAAAGCGATTTTCCTCGTGCTGCAGAAAAGGGAAATTGAGTCATAAAAGGAAGAGAAGCTTTTCTTCTGCTATCTGAGTAAAGAGGGAGAGCACTCCTGCCTTCTCACTAGGGGTAGCTAGGCTCCACCCACTCCTGGGGGCCACCCCAGGAGGGGCCCTGTTTGGGGGCGGAGCAGTGAGGGCTGCACTCTAAATAACTATGCACCTCTTTCCCTGACACTCTCTCACTTGATCCCTTGTGAAACAGGTAGGGCTGGTATTTATCAGCCCTGTTTTGCAGATGAGAGTATGCAGGCTTGGAGCCACACTGCTAGTAAATGCCCCTCAAGCTGAGACTTGACCTCTGATGTCAAATACTGTGTCCCTTCTATGACACCTTGAAAGAAAAGTGGCAGAGCCCTAACCAATGGCTTAAAAAATGCAAAAAGGGGGGCTTCACAGTGTGTCCAGGTATACATCCCATGCTCCCCACATGACAGAGGGGAGTGGGAGCCCCTGCTCCATGACCTGGGTGCTGAATCCAAGGTGGGCATCCCTGAAGCTGGGAGATAGAGAGAGGTGAGGCTCAGGGTGCAGGACCATGAGCCCACTTTGTCACACCCATCTGAGCCCGCTGTCTCCTTCCCAGCAGCAAAGGCTCTCCTCGCCCCATACTTTTCCCCAGCATCTCCTATTGCAAAGCATCTTATCATTGTCCTGCCCAGGCTGAGGACACCTTCATTCTTCCCTTAATTTCCCGTCTCTTATAGGAAAGGATCTCTTAAAGCAGCCCTCAACACTGTCCCCTAAAGGTGTGCTTCCTGCTTTCACGTCTTTGCCTCCATAACTCCCTGTCTGGAATTGTCTTCCTCATTTCTTAGCAGCCAGATCCCACACATCCTTGAAGGACCAACTCAGAAGTCCTGTTTTCAGAAGACCCCAGAGCCTTCTCCGCTGCACAACTTCTTTTCCTCCAAGGACTGTCTTGGTTTTATATTTAGCTGATGTAGTCAACCCTCAGGTGATAATCTCCAGTTTTTATGTCACAGTCTGGTCTTCTGGATTAAAAGACAAAGTCTCTTCATCCAAAACCGAGCTTCTGCCTCTGTATTTCCCACTGCTGGGAACACAATGCCCAGATCATGAAAAGTCTCAGTAAATTATGTAGTTGATACCTGGTTCACTCCTTACTTTACAAAATATCCATTCCAACCCTACTCACCCCTCCCCACTCCCCAAGTTCTGAGGCGCCCTAACTCCCCTCAACCTAGGTCTGTGTATCCCCCCCATTTCCCAGGACCGAGGGGGCTGCTGGTGGGAGGGAGAGGAGATGCGGTGGTTTTTCCACACACCTCGTGGAAAATGGAATTTGTGCTTTTCTCTCCTTACAGATCAGCTAGTAGCCACAGCCAGAGCACTATGGCCCTAGGGGGCTTGTGCTCAAGAGAGAGACAGGGACCGTAGGTGGCGGGGTAGTCTTGCGTGGGTCCCTCGCTCTTTCCCAGGTGGTGGTCAGTCCTGGAGTAGCGGGGAGCCGGCGCCGAGGAGCCGCTAACAGGTCTGCAGCATGCCCAGGCGCTAAGCACCGGCTCGGAGTTGGGGCGGCCGCGCAGTCTACGCTCCGCCTGCTACGCAGCCGCCGAGGGGCTGGCATGCGGGCGCGTGGTCGGGGTTGGAGACGTCTGAGATGCAGAGCGCGCTCCCCACCCCCACTACCCCCCACCGCTCCGAATGAGCGTGTGCGGGGGGAACAATCGTGTGTGAGTGCGTGATTCGCTGCACTTCGAGTGGCAGTTCCCAGCCAGACTGAGCGCCCCCCCCACAACCCGCAGCACATGTGCTCCCCTCCCCCAGGTTACTCCTCTTCGGTCTTTCGCCGCCACCCCCAGGTCGCATGGTCCAGTTCTCCCACACGGCGTCCCGTTTCTTTTCACTCTGGACCACTCCGGGCAGTTCCCAGTCTTCCCCGACGAGCCCGAGATCCCGCCAGTTTCTAAGGAGCCCAGGGCACCGACTCGAGTGGGGGCGGAGGGCGGGGAGAGAAGACTGCGACTTTGGGATTGGCCCGGTTGGGTGCTTGTGGCCCCCGGCGAGCAGCCCCCGCCCCCGCCCTGCAACCGCCGCCGCATTCCCAGGGGAGCGCGGAGGAGGAGCCGCTCCCAGACTTCGTGGCCCACGAAGGAGTGGGGGTCAGGGGCGGTCTCCGCCGCCCTGTCCGTCTCTGCCCTGACGGCGCAGCCGGCTTCCAGGGCAGCCATTGCCATGGAGACCCCCGAGGCTATAAAGCCAGGTACCTAAGCGGGCGGCGGCTCCCGCGCCGCTGAGTCCCCCAAGTGAGGAGCTAGCGCCCCGGCGTGGCCCGGCCCCCGCGAGAGGAGAGGAGGCGGAGGAACGGCGCCAGCAGCTTGAGGAGCGGCGCGCCCCGCCAGGGCTGGAGGCAGGCGTGCACGGCGGGCGCCACCGTCTCAGCAGGGGAGCGGGGGCTGCCCCGGGTGCGGGTGAGTGGCACGGCTCCAAAACACGAGGGACTGAGGGCGCCGGACACGGGGAAAGCAGCGGGCGACTCAGAAGGGGGCCGAGCTTCGGCTACCGTCGTCCCGTGGCGGGCCAGGAGCGGAGCCCAGAGTAGCTAGCAATCAACACCTTCAGGCGGGAGGCCCGGGAAAGGCGGAGCGAGACGCCAGGCGTGCGGGCTAGGAGCGGCTGGGCAGCCGGAACCGCGGGTGCACCTCGAGTGGGAATCTCCGGACCCTCGGCCGCCGCCGCCCACGCGCGGAGGGAGCAGCACTAGAGCGCAGGCGGAGGCCGGGGCCCCGCGGGACGCGAGAACAGGGGCGCCCCCGTGCGGAGCTGCCGGGCCGCCCGGGTGCGGCGGCCGGGGCCATGCTCAAGCCCAAGGACCTGTGCCCCCGAGCGGGTACGCGCACCTTCCTGGAGGCCATGCAGGCGGGTAAAGTGCACTTGGCCCGCTTCGTGCTGGACGCGCTGGACCGCAGCATCATCGACTGCCGTGCTGAGCAGGGCCGCACGCTGCTCATGGTGGCCGTGGGGCTGCCGGACCCCGCGCTGCGCGCGCGCTTCGTGCGGTTGCTGCTCGAGCAGGGTGCAGCCGTGAACCTGCGGGACGAGCGCGGCCGCACCGCACTCAGCCTGGCGTGCGAGCGAGGCCACCTGGACGCCGTGCAGCTGCTGGTGCAATTCAGCGGCGACCCCGAGGCGGCCGACTCGGCTGGCAACAGCCCGGTGATGTGGGCGGCGGCGTGCGGCCACGGGGCGGTGCTCGAGTTCCTGGTGCGCTCCTTCCGCCGCCTCGGCCTGCGCCTCGACCGCACCAACCGTGCGGGCCTTACGGCGCTGCAGCTGGCCGCTGCCCGTGGCCATGGAACTTGTGTGCAGGCTCTCACTGGGCCCTGGGGCCGCGCCGCCGCCGCCGCCGCGGCCCGAGGCTCCAACTCCGACAGTCCCCCGGGACGCCCGGCCCCCGCGCCCAGCCCCGAGCGTCGACGACCCAGTCCCCGCCGCCTACCGCGGCCTCTGCTGGCGCGCTTTTCGAGAGCGGCGGGCGGCCATGGCCACGGCGGCGAGGCTGGCTCAGTGGTCAAGAGTTCGGGCCGGCACCGGGCGCAAGGCAGCGAGCGGCCCGAGCTGGGCCGGAGCATGAGCCTGGCCCTGGGTGCGGTGACCGAGGAGGAGGCTGCCCGTCTACGGGCGGGGGCCCTGATGGCCCTACCAAACTCTCCCCAGTCAGGGACTGGGCGGTGGCGCTCACAGGAGGTGCTGGAGGGAGCGCCTCCAACCCTAGTGCAAGTCCCCATTGGCCTTAGCCCCCACCCGGAGGGTGGCCCTGGCTCTGGCCGCCTGGGTTTGCGCCGACGCTCCACAGCCCCAGACATCCCCAGCCTGGTCGGGGAGGCGCCGGGGCCCGAGAGTGGCCCGGAGTTAGAGGCCAACGCTCTGCCTCTCTCGATGCCTGGGCCAAAGCCTTGGCAGGCGGGCACGGATGCTGTGGTGCTGCAAGCTCAGCCGTAAACAGCGCCCGAGGCCGAGCCTCGCTTCCCCCACCCGCCTGTCTCTGCTCTACTGGAATTTCTCCCTTTCTTCTGGGTCCCTCACCTTCTTAACAGTAGCCCTACCCCTATCCCAGAACCTGTCCCGCTGCCAAAGCAAGACCTCCACCAGAAATGAAAAAGGGACCCTCATCTTATGCCTTTTTTTGTGCTCGTTGGTATTCCCAGCCTTTCCTGTCCCTGAAGGCGAAGTGTGGAAGACTGGTTCCATAGGTTGCCACCAGCCAGGAAAGTGGATCCCCCTCCCCCAGCCCTAGGCTCAGTCCTGGGACTGTCTGCCTAGGTTCATGCCAGCTCCTGCCCAGTCCCTCTTCCCCTTGCTGGGTTTCCCAACACCCTGGCAGCCAGGCAGGCAGAAGAGTCAATCTTGGAGAACAAAGGCCCAGGCTCCCTCCCTCTGCCTAGTGCTGCTGACAATAATGCCACAAACTACCAAAGTCTCCTTTTCCCCTATGCGTTGGAGAAGGAGAAGGCCAGGAGGGGCCCCAGATCCTTTCTGGACAGGAGGGCTGATTAGAAGGAAATCTGGCCGTTTTTCTGGGGTAGAAGCTCCTGCCTCAAGAAAATGAAAGCATATTTTGGGGGTGGCAGAGCCCCTGGTGTTGAACGCCAGTTGCCCCTTGAGCCAGCTTCTGGGTAGCGTGAGCTCCCTCTGCCTCTGAGACCCAGGATTCGACTTCATTGATAACATGGAGTCACTGCTCCACACAACCCCCTACCCAGCCCAACTCCGGCTCCTAAGTCAGCCTGCTCCTCAGCTCGGACGCATTTGAATTCCATCTTTGAGGTTCAACGCCTCACCCCCCGGGGCCCTGCCTTATTTCCACTCGTCAGATGCCTGAAATGGAAAGGACTTAGCACTTCCCCGCCCCCACGCCTCCCAGCTCCCGGTCCCGCACGTGGGTGCTCCCGCGGGGTGGAACGCTTGCGAAGGCTTTGCTTAATTGTATTTCTTCCAATCCTCAAAGAACTCGTGTTTGGAGGCTTTGTATATGAAGCAGAAAGCAGCGGGTCTGATCCGAGGCTTAAGAACCTGACAATATCTCTTTAAATAGAAGCTCCGCGAGGGGGATAATTGACTGAAGTGTTTGCGACGTTAAACGGCGGCGCGCGGGAGTCGGGAGCCCACACGAGCCGCAGGTCCAGGTTTAAATTACATCAAACTCCGGTGAGAGCTGCAAGGGGCCTGTTAAACGGCTCCTGCTTCTTGCTGGGCCGCTAATGGAGGGCAGGGCAGATGAGGGATGCTAGAGGTCGAGACCCAGGACTCCTGCCTCTGCCCCTCCGCATGGGCCAAAAGGGGCCGGCCCTGTTGTATTACGGGGCAGATTAGTGAGTCACAGGCACTCTAGGAGAGGTGGTTAAAGGCCCTTTACCGGCCTGGCCTGGTCCTTTGTCGGCGTTCCTGCCGTCCTACTCTTCGTACCCGCCTAGCGAGGGGGCGGGGTTGAGGATAGGGGGTCTGGCGGATCGCGTGCGCTAGGACCCTGCGGAAGCGCTAGCACTCGTGTCACTTGCGCCCAGCCCACAGTGTGGCGGCAGGTGGCTTTTTTTGTGGACCGCGAGGGTTGAGCGTGCAGCCCCTCGTCTGCCTGCGGTGGGGTGTTTTCAAGACGTCGATCTGTTCGTCTTTGCAGGACGGAAGGTTTCTCACCAGTAACTCCGAGGGAACTGCCCAGAGCGAGATGGCCGTGCTGAGAAATTGGGCTTGGGGGTGAAGGGCGAGAGGTCAGGGAGTGGGCGTTGCGCAGGTGCCAGACACCGCCCCACCCGTTCCATCACCCCACCCCACCCGCTTAGGCCGCGCGGGCCGGCAACCTGGACGTGATCTCTGGTGCCCCCTGGCGGCAGCGCTGCGCTCTCCCCGCTGCGCCTGGCTCCGAGCTCAGACTTACAGTTTTTTCTGGGATCACCGCTGTGTACTTCTCCCTCCGTGTGCATTTACCCATGGAATCCTTTGCCTCTCGTAGAATATTAAATCCGGATACTTGAAATCACTTCACAGCAATGAAGCGAGGGACAATGAACAAACTCGCTTTGGAAGTAGCAGGAACCCAGACCCTTCACTAAGGACCGCAGGTTAATCTCCCAAGTTAAGGCTCCTCAACCCGAGAGAGACCGCTCTCTTTCGAAAAACTGGAGCTGCCAGCCCTTCCCTATGCTTTCTGAACCTTGGGACCTGCCAGTTATGCAGTTTTCTTGTGATGACGTTTGCTTCATTTCTGAGGTGTTCTGCCCTTCCCCTCCCCTCTTCTCCCAAAACATCTGCCTTTCCTCAGTCCCCCTGTCTGGGTGGTGGGTGCACAATACCAGAGTGCCTGAAAAGTGTGGGGAGAGGGTCTGGGGGGATCACTGGACTCCCCAGTGCAAACTGCTTCTTTCTGACTTCCTCCCTTTTCAGCTGTGTTCAATTTCAGTGAAGTTTTTAATGGTGTAGAAATATAAGTATTTTGGCTTAAAAACAGTATGAAGTCTGGGTTGCACGTTGTATCAGAGGCTGTAATCTTTCCAGGTTTCCGACATGTTGGCTTTCTGGTTGAACGTCACCTTGGGCTCTCTTTATTGGGTAAATGACCGTGAGGGCTTCTCTCTGTGGAGTTGCCCAGAGCTTGGTGGTAGAAAGTGATGTTTCTGGAAAGCCGCAGCAGATTGCTCCCGTCTGAACTGAATTGTGTGTCTGCCTGCCTTGCTGTCCTTTCATACTGCTCACCAGGCCCAGCTCTGTGCAGAACTTCCATGTTTCGCCACATTTCACTCCGCTGAACTTCCTCTCTCTGTCAGCACCAGGGTGTTGAGGCTGGGGTCCCCTCTAGCTCTCTCCACCTTAGAAGAGACTTTTCCAAGTATTTTGCTTTCCTAATTCTTGTTGCTTTCGGCATTGTGAAGAATCACCCAGGCCACTGGATCTCGGTACTGATCAGTGTGTGAGGCTAAAGGAGGTACGCACACACTTTCGGAGTGAGACTGTGTGGTGGAAGGAGTACTAGAACTCAAAAGAATAGTTAATAAATCCAGTATTATTCCATTGTGAGAACTGACCTCTCTTTGCCTTACCGCCCACTCCTGACTCTTGGCTCCCTTTGGAGCGATGGGAGGATGCCCTTGCTTCCTGTGGAGGTTTCCGCTTTAGTGAGCCTCTGTCCCCACCTGCCCTAGTATGGCTGGCTCTATATGGAAGGTAAGTCACAGGTGCTGCTTCCAGCTGAGCTGGTGGGGCTGGGACCCTAGGACCAGGGCACCTTCCTGGGTGCCAGTGCTGGGGGGCGGGGAGCGGGAGCTCTGCGTGTCTCCTTGCTCCTAGCTAAGAGGTTTCGGTGAACCCAGGGTTGGGGTAGATCTCAGGAAGGGCGTACTAGAATTAGTGTTGGGGCTAGAAATTGAAAGATAATTTCATCCTCCTCCCCACCCCCAGGACCAGAACCTAGGCTTCTTGGTTTCCAGGCACTACTCTCCTCTTTCTCAACTCCACACCTTTCCCTTAGTTCTGGGAAACGTAGCAGGGACTGCTTTCCCACTAGAAGCAGTTTCAGACCCCTTCCTGTGGAAGCTTGAGGTCCAGGGAGTGAGAAGCAAAAGGGGAAGGGAAAAGTCTTTGCAGAAAGTGGTTGTCATCCACTGCGGCCACCCCTTTTAAGCGCAGCACTTCCCCTTAGGAAGGGGCCCTATTTCTTATCTCCTTCAGTCCCAAGGGCCTTTCACTTCCTGTTTCCCTCCTTCTCTGCTCTCATTCTGGGCTAACACACCACCAGCGTGGTTGGGTGTTCTGCGGACCAGAGCTGGGGAGCTCACGTCGGGGAGGAGGAAGGGCCACTACAGGTGTGCAGCTTGAAGACGGTCTGGCTCCACTCCCAGAGACGACAGGAAGCCCAGAGGTTCTGAACACTCAGTTTAATTTAAAACAGGCACAAGTGCAAACAATTCACAAAAATGTCTAGGGAAGATGGTTTTGTTTTTAAAACACTGACCCTTAAAAAAAAGTCCTTGCAATTTTTTTGCCCCAAAGCAGGCCACTAGGGAGCAGAGGAAATCTAAAAAATATATCTAGATAGGATCCAGACACCTGAAGTTCTTCCCTGGAGTTCCCTGTCTCACAGCAGCCCTGAAGGGGGGAGGAAGGAGACCAAGGATTCAGGTGTCTGGAGGCAGCCAGGGGCAGATGGTTCACACAAATGGGGTGGCCATTCCCTTGACATGATGGAACCCCAGGAGGTGGTTCACCTTCTCCCCCAGATAGGGTTCTGAGGAGGAGAACGGGTCCCTGATGACCTGGTTATAGACGAAGTTGAAAGGTAAAACAGTTTATTTCCTTACCATTCCTGTGTCTGGCCCTTACACTCCACAGTGCAGGAGAAACTCAGAAACCTGCACCCCCAGGATGTTAGGCTCAACACAGACCTCTTCACTGGTCAGGTAGAAACATGGGACTTGAGAGGTGGGAAGCCAGGCCGAAACAGCAGGCCTCTTCAGGCTGGAACTTAGAGAGGGTGGGGCAGCCTTCTTGAAGCTGGCAGTGGGTGACCTGAAGGGACCTGGGTTGTCGGGGTGGCCTTCCTCCCCTTACACACACACACACACTCTCTCGCCTTCCTCCCCTTACACTGTCTCTCTCACACACACACACACACACACACACACTCTCCTTCCTCCCCTTTATTGTCTCTCTCTCTCTCTCACACACACACACAATGTTCTCTCCATCCTGTAAAGTGAGACCACTTTTACCAGCAACCCCATTCTTTCTCTTTCACTTAGCAAATGCGCCCACCCCTCCCGTGGCCTCTGAGCAGGCCGTGTGGGGAGAGGCAGTGCAGTGGGACTGTGCCTCCAGGAGGGCAGACACAATGGAGGAAGAGGGACTCAGGTAATAAAAACCTTCCCTGTGGCCCTCTTGAGACCCCAAGGTTTGAAGCTGGAGCTGAGAACAGCAAGTATTCGTGTGAAGACAGGCAGTCTGCCCTCTACAGTGGCCTGCGATGCCAGTGTACAACCACCTTTAAAAACCCACAGCAGCCTTTTCTGCTGTGTTGGCCACAGTGGCCAGGAGTACCAGTCTCTGAATTTCTTAGAAATATCCCTGTGCAAATAACAAAGGGTCATCCTGTAGAAGGGGTCTCCATCATCCCAAAGGCAACTGGGGACTCTGGGGAGGGAAAGGGGAGGGAAAGGGACCAGGCAGGTCCGGCCTGGCCCGGTGGGCTGAGGGGCAGGAGGTGGGGGTGGGGCTTCACATTCAATCTTTGGAGAGAATACTGAGAGAATGAGGCAGGGAGGCCCTGCCGGCAGGCTGGCTGCCCGGTGTCCCCTGCCTATGGGCACAGGTGGCAGGCGCACTGAGGACGGGCTCAGCAGGTGGAGGTCTGCTTGCGGTAGAGCTGGATCAGGGGCACCAGGCACTCAGGCAGTCCCGTCTGCAGCAGGAAGGGGTGGTCCAGGAGCTCCTGAGCTGTGGCTCTTTCTTGGGGGTCCCGCACCAGCATCCGTTCCAGGAAGTCTCGAAGCACTGGGGAGACCTGTGGAGACAGGGCAGCAAGAGGAAGCCACAACATGCAGTCACTTTGGTGTGACCTGACTGCCTGGCCCTGCCATTGTTTGAACATCTTGAATTCTCTGGTTTCTTACTTCCTGGTGCCCTCTACCCCCCAATTCTCAAGGCTCTCAGCATTCATGTTCTGCAGGTCTGTGCAGGGGGCATGAAACTGACATCAATATTTCCAGCCTGGGTCTATCTCTGACCTGGGGCAAGTTGCAATTTTCTCTGGGCCTCAGTTTTCTCATCTGCAAAATGGGTTAATGATAAAGTATGCCTGCCCTGTCTGTCACATAGAGCTTTAGTGGAGATTAAAAAAGAGGTCAGAGATAAGGAAGTGTTTTGAAAAATAAAAAAAGAACAAGGTGGGGCTGGGTGCAGTGGTTCACGCCTGTAATCCTGGCACTCAGGGAGGATTGCTTGAGGTCAGGAGTTTGAAACCAGCCTGAGCAAGAGCGAGACCTTGTCTCTACTAAAAATAGAAAAATTAGCCGGGCATGGTGGCATGCACCTGTAGTCCCAGCTACTCAGGAGGCTGAGGCAGGAGGATAGCTTGAACCCAGAAGTTAGAGGTTGCAGTGAGCTATGATGATGCCACTGTACTCTAGCCCAGGCGACAGATTGACACTCTGTCTCAAAAACCAAAAACCAAACCAAACCAAACCAAACCACAACAAAAAAACTAAGGTGGGACCCGAAAAGGAAGATTTCTTTGTTGTTCTGAGCCTTAGAGTCTAAGGCAAGGGCTTATCTTCGTTCATTTTGAGCCATTATTTTGGGATAAGGCTGTCTTGGGCAGGAGGCTACATCCTCTGGGGAATTAGCCAACTGGAGATCTCCACTGTCTGCTAATCTTGGGGTTAGCAGTGCAGGCTCCAAGGACCAGTTGTCTTGGAAGATGTTTCCTGTTGGTCCTCCCACCCAGCTGTGTTGCGGCCACAGTACTGCTATTTAGAGACTGGGCTTCAACCCTCTGGGACATTTCTTGCTCTGGCCACCAGATGGCAGTGCCACTTAGCAGCCCAGTGCTGACCTGCCAGCAGCGGGTGTCCACAGGTAAGGCCTGCAGGTCTGGTGTGGATTTGGCAGAAAAGGGTTAGCTGTCTGCATATACACACATACATACTGGTTTTAAGGGGAAGGCTGAGGCTCAGCTGAGGTCAGGATGTCAATAATGGAGGACAAGCCGATCGCTGTGGTCATGGTGTGGCTCTCCTGACAAATGGGGTGGAGAGGTTTGTGCTCAATTAAACTTCCCTGGATTCCTCCCCAGCCAGCAGGGATTGCTGGTGTCCCTGCTTTCCCTGCCCACAGGTGTCTGGGCCCCTGTCAAGTGCCTGCTGAGGCACGACTCTACTGCGGCTGTAAACTTGTTGGAGTGAACATGGCGTTGCGCGTGGATGTGGCTCCACACTCAGGTTCGGGTTTTGTGTGGAGAAAGAGGCACCTTTCCTGGGAGCCCGGACCCTCCAGCTTCTGTGGAAGGGGGAGGCTGGGCCTGGCTGGGCGCCCAGGCTCTGGTCCTGTCGCCTTAGGGGAATTGGGATCTGTGGGCTCACCTCTTGTATAGCTACTGACCTTGTGAGAGTTTTTCAGCTTGGGTGGGGGGTTGTCCCGGAGCCTCTTCATGGCTTGCACTGGGGAGTCGCTGAAGTAGGGTGGCTCCCCATCCACCATCTCAATCACCATGATGCCCAGAGACCAGATGTCCACCTGCAGGAGAACGTCCCTGACCACAATGCCACAGTCTGGCCCCTTGGTAGCAGCCGGAGGGTAGGGGAGCTGGAGAGCTAGGGGAGCAGCTGGTTCCAGCTCTCCTTAGTGAGCCTGTCTCCTTCCTCCCCCGGTCACCTGCCCTGTGGCCATGAATGACCACTGCCTACAGGGACACAGCTGTCAGCCTCGCTCTGAGAAAGGCTGTCATATATGGGAAGGCTGGCCACACCCCACTCCACTGTGCCCTTGAACCGGGGCAGCATTTGAAGGATCTGTCCCTGGTGGCAAAGTCACAGGTAGGAGCAGCGCTATCTTATTGATCCCACTTATTGATTAAGTGGGAATCTGAGAATAGGGGCTGTCTTTGGGAGGGCCCCGGAAAGGACCACAGGTGGAAGAGCTTCGTGTTCCCAAGCCTCTTCGGGGAGGCCTGGGGGATGGAGGGAACAGTTACCTCAGTGGCATACAAAGACCTGGAGATCACTTCAGGAGCCATCCAGTACGGAGTCCCCACCAGGGACTTCCTCTTAGGGACGTCTTTGCTGATCTGAGCACAGAATCCAAAGTCTGAGAGCTTTACCTGGGGCCAAAAGGGGAGTGAGTGATGGAGCAGGAGGAGGGGTGCTGGGAGCAGGGAAGTGGGGGTGTGGCTGTGCCAGGGACGGGGAGCAGCCTACCCTGCCATCAAGGGTCAGCAGGATAGAGTCACTCTTGATGTCCCGGTGGATGACACCCTGGGCATGCAGGTACGCCAGGGCCTGCAGCACGGCCTCGCACACAGTGGCAATCTGCTCCTCGTTCAGCCTGGACAGGGAGGCAGGGCATCCGATGGAAGAGAATGCTGGCTTTGGCAGGGCTGCAGGGTGGCTGGGCTGGGCGGAGTAGAAGTCCCTGATACCCGGCCCCATGGCTCCTGGGCAATCTGTTTGGCAGCCCAGTCAGGCCATAGTCCTGGCGAAAGCCGGGGCCTGAGTCTAGGCTGGAGACCACCCTTCCCTTCCTCATTTCCAAGACCCCTGGTTCTCAGTTACCCCAAACAGGCAGGGGGCCCAGGATGATCTGACAGGTGCCCCAAGTGCTGCCCCATTCCCCTGTCAGGGTGACGGTGAGGGCAGCCCACACCAGGCCCACACTCGGGGCCCAGCCCTCCCAGCTGCCCACCTGACTTGGGAGATGATGTCTGTGAGGGCCCCGCCCTGCAGGAACTCCATAAGCACCCACAGCTCCTCGCCCACCAGGTAGCTCTTGTACATCTCTACCACGTTGACGTGCTGGTAGTCCCGCATGATCACCACCTGCGGGAAGACAGGGGGCCTGAGTGCCGGGCACGGTGCCCATGGGGCTTGGCCACCCGCTGCTCCTGCTTGCAGATGCCCAGCCTAGTTGTGTGCTCACTGCCCATCCCAAACGCCCCCACCCATGTCCCACCCTGTCCCCCCACCTCGTTAAAGAGCAGCTCCCTGCGCTGCTGCTTCCTGAGGTCCATCATCTTGACGGCCACCTGGCGGCCCGAGTGCTTCTCACGGGCCAGGCAGACGATGCCTGTGGAGCCCTCGCCAATCTTCACGTAGCTGTCCAGCAGCAGCCGGGGGTCACCCTGGTCCACCACCATCCTGAGTGCAGCCTTGAACTGCTCATGCGTCACGACACCTGTGTCCTCGCCAGCCAGGGCACCCTTGGTCACCATGGGGTCTTGGGGCAGGTACAGGTTGCTGGTGCTGATCTGGGCATGCCAGGTGCGGGGGGAGCCTGCCGGGGAAGACCGGCCTGGAAGTGGGCCGGCAGCCGGGCCTGTACGAAGGGACTTCTGGGGGCTGCTGGTATCCGAAGTGGTTAGAGGGCTGAAGGTCCCCACTGGCTGATCTGAGGGCAAAGACTGGGCCTTGGCCACCAGGCTTGGAGGGGAGTCTTTCTGTGGTGGTCGGAAAGAGAAGCTGGGCTGCAGGGACAGAGAAAGAAACAGGAAGGGGCATGGCTGTGGGAGCGTTAGGAACAAGCATCCCCGAGGCAGGGTTGCTGCTGTGACCTCTGGACACTGGCAGGGTCAGGCAGGGCATCAGACCAAATTGGGGAGGTGCTGTGAGCAAACATTTTCAAACAGAGCGGAAGCCCCCGCTGCTCCTGGGTGAGCAGGCCAAACAGCAGCTCTTTCCATCACCCTGCTGGCCTGGGAAGACAGAGACGGCGGAGTCCCCGCGGGGTCCTGTGCTGGGTATTTCTTCCTGGGTAATGGAGAGCTGGGCCCCAGGGAGGCCACTGTAGGGCAGAGTCTTCCCTCTCTGCCGAGGGGCCGCTCGGAGATTCTGGGTCAGAGGCGTTCTTCGCTCCCAAGTCTCCCAACGCAGGGTGCACGTGGGGAAGAGGGCCCGGGCAGTGGGGTAGGGGCTGTGAGCAGCTGTGGCTCAGCTCCCAGGACAGGAAAGCCACAGCTGGGGGCTGATGGGGAGGCTGCGTATCTCTGCTGGGAGGTTATGGAGAGGACCCAGAGCTATGTTACCGTCTTGGGAGTTTTCAGGTGTTCCCCCTTGGACTGGGATCTGGTACCAGAGAGATCTGGAAGCAGGAGTGTAGGTCCAGCCAAGCCCAGGCCTTGAGTCCAGGGATGGGAAGTGGACTTCTGCTTCCTCCCAGGCATGAAACTCCTGGCTAAGGACCCCCCCCAGCAATGGAGAGAAGGCAGGGCGCCTATCTTGTGGCTTCTGCGGGGAGGGAGGGAGGGTGGAGTCAAGCGCAGCCTAGGCCTCCAGGGAGCCCTGGTCGGGCTCAGCCCTGGGGTCCGCTCTGGTCTGTTCTGCCCTGCGATGAGCCTTAGGCAAGTTACCTTCTGCGAGCCCCAGTCCCCTCTACAAATGCGGGGGGCTGTGGACAGTGACCTGGAGAGCTAGATAAACTACAGACTTCCAGGTCTCAGAGACCGACTCAGTGGGTCCCTAGAGATGAGGCTGCAGTTTATCAAGGTTCCTGGACTTTCGTGTAGGAGGTCCCAGAACATACTTTGAGAAGCTCTGGATGAGTCTGTGATGCATGTCCTGGGAGCAGAGGTTCCACAAGAGGTCACTCGGTAGGGCTGGAAGGAGGGGAGGCCAGGCTCACTGCGTCAATCACCCAAGCAGCCCCCAAAGCCCCGTAAAAAGGATCAGGGCCCCGAGGAGGCTGCCTGCTGGCCCGCAAAGTTGGACTTAGAAAACCTGCTTTCCAAGCAGCCATCCATGTGGGGTGGGGCAGAACTTGGAGACCACCTAAAGCTCCTCTTGAGGTTGCTCTAATAGCAACCTTGACCTCTCTCCACCCTGAAGTTCCTAAGGAAGTCCGTAAAATGATTTCCTTCACCTTCTGGCCTCCGGGACTTCTGCATGGGCTATCTCTGCTCTGTGTGCGGGCATGGTGGGGGCAGGGGGTGTGAGCCATGCATAGGGGGTGAGGTACGCAGTAAAGTGTGCAGGGTGGACAGGCCTGTTCCCCTGCTGTGGGGTGCTGGCAGGAGCCCACCTAGCAGGACTCCCAAGAGGCAGAGGGGGACCAAGCTCTGATTCTCACCCCCTAGTACTGTGCTCTGCCCTGCTCCCACCTTAATTTTCTGGGGGATGTCTCCCCAGGGGCACAACTTTTGAGGCCCCTCAGCTCACAGATACTCATGTTCCTCACCCAGACACATCAAGCTACACCCCATGGGGGATCCCAGAACACTGTCCTTTGTCTCAGTGTGGGGCTGGAGCGTACAAAACCCAGAACCTTCCCGGGGTACCTCAGCTGGCAATGACCTAGATAGGTTGTAGGTCCAGGCCATCCCCCAATCCCCCTAGCCCTGTTTGGGTTGGACCACACTCACCCCATCGCTGACAGGTAAGACCCGGGCTTGTTCTTAAAGCCGTCCCAGGAGGGAAAGGAGGCTCCATTACTCATGCCACTGTCAGCAGCTGTTTCTTAGCCTGCCTTAAAACCTCAGGAAGGAGCTGGAGAACTGGCTTCCATGGTTTGAAAGCCTTTGTAAGCAAGAGCAAGAGGGCCCGGGATGGACAGGCAGCCCCGAGGGAGCGCCCTCTCCCACCTTCCTTCTCTGACTGCCTCACAAGGCCTGGGGCTGTCTCAGCCTTTCTGAGTCAGTCTTCTCATCTGCCACATGGGAAAGGATGTTACATCACGGTGGACAGGATGTTACAGGGCCTGTAAGAGGCAGAAACGTGCTCCAATCTGCCTGCCAAGAAACGTCACCATTGGGGCTCCCTTCACTTTCCTTTCTCACAAGAAAAGCGTGCATTTGAGGCTGTCACACATGCCAAAAGTTGGCCCTCCTGCCGCACCCAGGCAAATTCAATCTTCCAGCCTTCCATATGGCCACACGCTCGGGAACAAATGACAGAATTGTGAAAGAAAACGACTACCATGATGAAAAGGAAAGAGAGAGAAAGAGAGAGAGGGAGAGAGGGAGGGAGGGAGGAAGGAGCCAGTCTCACTAGGAAAAGGGCTCCCATGCACATTTCTGTCGCCTTAGGGAGCAGCAGTCCAGGGAGCTGCTTTGCAAGTGCTCAGGGGGTGCTGGGGAGAGGGAGGGGTAGAGCACCCCCCCTTTGGAGGACGCGGGCTGAGCTGGTTCAGTGTCGAACGCTCGGCTGAGGCTTGATCATTTTGGTCCTTCACTTCCTCCCCCTCCTGATGCTGTAAGTGGGGAAGGCCAGGCAGGGCCTGGGTCCTTGACACTGTTTCCTCAGTGGACGCCTGCCAGGCCAGGGTCCCTGTACTCCTGAGTGTGGCCCCAGAGGGAAGCCCCAGCCCAACTTACCTTGCTCTGCGGTGGAGGGCCTGGCTTGCTGCTGCTCGGAGGGGCCGTGGCAGGAGTGGACAGGAACATGCTTCGGAACAGTCTGCGCTTAAGGCTGCTCTCCTGGGTCTTAGGGCTAGGGCTGCCCTCCCCACCTGGCCTGCCTGTCGCTGAGCCCACCAGGCAGGACTGTGGCCGGACCTCCTCTGAGCCATGCTTGGCAGCCTTCATCCCACGCCTACCCGTGGCCATGGGGGGTGAGGTGCCTGGTGGGGAACTCTGCAGGCAGGCACCCAGCTGTAGGCAGCGCTGCGAGGTCCCCTGGAACTCGGCAGGGCCCAGGGACTGTGCCTTCGTGGCCAGCCCATTGGGCAGGACCCGTGGGCTCTGTGGCTCGGGCCACGGCGTCTGCTTGCGACCTGCTGGTGTGCCCCTGCTGCAGCTGAGGTAGAGACTGTGGGGGTCAGTGTGCTCAGACTGGGGGCTCTGGAGGTACATGTCTGGGTCGGTGGCCCACTGCTCATCCCCCAGCAGCCCCAGGGACTGTGCCCGCCGCCGGCTGGTGGGGCTGCGGCTACGCAGGGTGTTGGAGCTGATGACCGACAACTTCTGGATGTCATTGAGCAGCCCCGAGATGTAGCCGTCCACGGGCACTGAGCTGCCCCTCACCACTGTCTGTAGGGGTGACAGAAAAGAGTGTGGGTGAGCAGCCTGATCGTGGCAGGGAGGGGTGGCCCAGAGACCAGGGCCAGAGAGCATCGTCGGGGACCTTGGGGAGGAACACCTAAGGTCCTCCCTTTTACCCACTCATTAATACTTCAGCCATTTCCAAGGGCCCATGGCCGGTCAGGCCTGTGCTGGTACAGGGAACAGGGATGCAGGGAGGAGGCTGCCTGTCAGCAGGGCAGACGGCTGAGTACCATGGAGTACAATCCCACACGCTCCGCGGTGTGGGTGACTGCGCCTGGGGAGCCACAGAGCACTGGGGCAGGGCTCCATCCTCCAGCTCTACCTGTGGCCTTCGCGGAGATGTCTGAGGAGGCAGAGACCAGGCCAGGGGTCTCCTCCACACACACTGGCTTTGTGGCCTCCAAACCCTGACAGGGCCCTTGACCCTAACTCCTACCAGGCTCTTGGGTCTACCTGTCTTGACCCACACAGCTCAATTCCCCTAGTCTGGGAGAGCCCTGGTCCCTTTGGGGAGACAGATCTAAATGTTGCATGGGACATGTACTAAAAGACTACTCATTGTTATCTGACACTCAGCTTTAATTGGGCGTTTTATATTTTGAATTGCTAAATCTGGCAACCCTACTACCCTGCAGAGAGGGTCTCCCCAAGCTCCTCCTCCCCAGGCCACCCAGGGAGAGCATGGCAGAATGATTAGCAGGGAATTAAAACAGTGACTAACTGATAGCTCATAACTGGGCGGTTCCTCCAGGGGCCTTAGGGGTCTGGCCAGGCATGTTTTCTGTGGCGCAGGAGGGGCTGAACTTGGCCCCGCCATCCCCACCTGCCCCTCTTACCTTCATGGGCTGGAGCTGCACCCGCGTGATGCGCGAAGGGTCCACCACGGGCTTGGGGCGCCGCAGTGTGTCCAGGATGTTCTGCCATTGTGGGGGGAGGCCCACAAACTTGCCTTCTTTGGGGTCAAAGGAGGTATGGACGCGGTGCTGGAAGTTCTGTGGGGCTGAGATCTCAGGGCGTTTCTTCTTTTTCTTGCGGAACATGGTGCCTGCGAGGGGAGGGGAGGGTTGAGCTGGGCTTTGGCCCAGGAACCCCAGGGTGACTGTAGGCAGTGCTGGGGTACCAGGCTTGGGGTCCCCCAGAACAGCTCCCCTGTCCCCCACCTGGGGCTTCCCTTCACCCCATCCCTCCTTCCTCAGGGGAATGGCTGGCTCCCAGCAGAACAGTCCCAGAAACAAAAAAGTGCCATAAATAAGCCAACGCAGACTATAAACACGGAAAAGAGGTGTCTGTCTGCTTGTCTGTGCCAAGTCCCCTGCTGAGCAGGCAGACTCTGGGGGTGTGTTTTTATAAAATCCAAAGCCCATTACAAATATCATTCCACTGTCAAAGAATTAAAACGGGGGAAAGAGGAAGAAAACTAGCAAACTTGTTTTATGAAGCGAGTATGACCTTGATTCTTAAACCAGATAAGAAGAGTACAACAAAAGGAAAATTTTAACCAATCTCACTTATGAACATAAATGTGAAAATCCGAGACAAAACTAGCAAATTGAATCCAACAGTATGTTAAAGTTTTTTGTTTGTTTTTTGTTTTTTATCACAATCAAATCAGGTTTGTCCCAGGATGGTTCAACAACAGAAAACTTGATAAAGTGATACACGATATTAATAAAAAACCAACCAGCTGATTCACAGACATGTTGCCCAGGCTGGGACCGTGTATCACAGAACTAGGGAACCCTCAAAGGGTCCTCATGGTCCTCAATTCAGAAAGGCCCTGAGCCAAGGGGACAGCCTAGGGTGGGTGAGGGGCAGCTATCTTAGGGGCAAAGCTCTCCAGAGAAGGCAGAGACCCCACCACCACCAGCCTCGGGACCCTTCCTTCTGGTCTTGGCACCCTGATTGTACAAAACATCGCTTGCACTCACGCACGCATCCCTCGCCTTGCTGACTGTGGCTTTGCCTAAGGTCCTGCTGAGCTCCATCAATAGTTAGGTGTGACGTGGGCTTGACTAGATCTGAGAGAGGGAAACTGAGTCCTGGGAGGGAAAGTGACTCTTCCAAAGGGCCGCTCTAGTCTCTCCTTCAGGGCAGCCCAGAGCCTGGAACCACACGCTGCTGGAAGATAGGTCAGGGGTGCCCACTTGAATACTTTTGGATCTGAAGACGCTCAAAACAGCTCAATGGGTTCTTACGTCACCTGGAAAGGTCAATTTCAGGTTTCAAGAAACAAACTGAGACATGTTTCTTGAACTGAATGCCTGGATTACTCATCTATCCAAAGCTCTGGAAAGCAGGGCTGGCACATTCTCTTTTGGCTTCTGCTCAGGAAACAGCATTTTCCTGGTCATTTTAGTAGGTTCTGGAGGAGGTGAAAATGTGAAATGTGCCTCTCACAGATCTGGGAGGCAGCTGGTGCCCACTCAGAAAGGCAGGGGCCCCGGAACAGCGACCGCTTCTGCACCAGGGAGTCGCCATGTGCGAGTCCACCTGAATCCATGCCATGCCTCTTGGAATGTCAGTCACTTTGCTGGACCTTAAGGGTCAGGAGTCTGTCAAACACCCTAAAGGCAGAGCCACAATGTGCAGGACCCCTACAGACCAAGCACTTTGAAATGACACACCTGTCTCAGTTGCAGGGGAGTTGTAGGGAGTCTCCCATCAATTTGGAGAGACTTTGAACAAGTTACGGAAACCATCTGAGCCAGTGGGGTTAATGAAAGGCAGCTCACAGGACTTGGAGAGTAAGAGGTAAGCAGAGTCCCAGTAAAAGGAGGCTGCTTCTCTGGCAGTGTTACCTCTCTTTGTGTCCCTGTCTTAAAGCTCAGGGCCCTCCAGACACTGGCACTTGGGCAGATACAAGTCTGGGAGTAATGCCAAACTCCTTTCCTCTCAGATTTACCTGTCAAGGAGTCATGCTTGATTTCAGGGTTCTGGGATCTGGGGATCTCACCATACCTCCATTATATAGACCCTTCATGGTTTGGTAAAATTTGACTTCTTCCCTCTCAGCCTTTGTCTTTTGCTACAGAAGAGTCTTCATTCAGCAGGTCTTTCCTCCCAGCCTGTTAGACAGGCCCTCTGTCCCTGGGTTAGTTTAGCTGACTGTTTCACCCTCCTTCCTAGCTCCCTGAAGTCTTCTGGAGGGGCAGGGACACACCCTAGAGCTGGAGAAGAGCTGCTAATACTCGTTTCTCGCAGAACATCCCTCTCTCCCACTCTCCCCCAACCCAATGCTCAGCTTTTGCTGCAGGAACGAAGGAGGAGGGCATCTTTAGCAGATGGTCTAAATGACTCTGGGACCCCCTCCTGAGTGCACGCTAACAGTGATTCCAGGATGGACAGCCCGGAGTCCTAGGGTCCAGGGCGCGTGGTGGGGAGGGTGGGAAGTAGGCAGAAGCAATGGGCTGAACTCAGGCTTTGGAGGTGGGAGCAGTAGGGATGTAGAAACCAGAGGCAGTCACTTAGGCAATGGGAAATCAGCAACACAAAGGGAGGCTGCCTAAGGAGGGGTGACCCAGCCCAGGTCAGTAAGGAGCAGGTCTAAACTCCCATCCATGCTCATCAGCAGTGAGATGGCACCTGTGAATAGCCACTGCGCTCTAGCCTGGGCAACACAGCGAGACCCTGTCTCTAAAACAATAATAATAAAAAATTTAAAAAATAAAAGGAGGTTCTAGGACTCAACTGTAATGTGGTAAGGCCAACACTGCTTGGGACAATGTGATTGTGTAAGTAGAATATCCAGAAGAATCTACATACAAACTATTGGGATTATGAGAGTAAATTTAGAAGGTCCCTGTTTCAAGATCAATATTTAAAAAATTAACTGAATCTCTACATATCAGTAACAAATAAAAAAATGAAATTTTTATAAAGATACCATTTACCATTTTATATTAAAAATACCAAATAATTAGAAAAAATAGGATAGACAAAAAAATATCAAATACCTATGAATAAATCTAATAAACAATGTACAGGGTCTTTACATTGAAAAACACAAAACATTATTAAAGGTATTAAAGAATATTCATAGACTGGAAGATTCAATATTGGAAAGATGTCAATTATTCCCAAATTAACCCACAGATTGTTTCGATCTCAATTAAAATCCTAGCATATTTTTTTTGGTAGAAATTGACAGGCTGATTCTAAATGTATAGAGAAACCAGGTATAAAGAACCAGGAATGGCCAAGATAATCTTAAAGAACAAAGGTGGAGGATTATAAGTGATGTCAAAATTTATTATAAAGCTATGATAATTAATATAGTGTGGACTTGGCACAAGGATTGACAGACCAAGAAATCTTCCACAGAAGAGAGAATCCAGAAATAGACCCACTCATATGAGATCACTTGATTTATGACAAAGGTGGCACTGCAGTGTGGTTGGGGAATGGGTGATCTTTTTAATAAATGCAGCTGAAGCAATTAGATATCCACACAGGAAAAAATGAGCCCTGAGAAATGAGTTTATATCATACCCCCAAATTAATTGGAGATAGATCATAGATCTAAATGTAAAAGGTAACAGAATAAAGCTGGTGGGAGAGACAGGGGTGGGGGTGGGGTCCCATAGCCTGGCTGTCCCCTTCCCCAGGTGTGATGTGAGTGACTTCACAGGCCTGAGCTTGGTGGGCTGTCCTGGAGCCCGACCTGCTGGGGCCAAAACCTGTCCACGCCCGTGGATCCCAGAGACGAATTAAACTATCAAGGTTTTCTTTGCCCAAAGCAGAATTCTTGATGCATAGTTAGGAATAGGGGGTTATTTCTAAAGATCCCACTTATACTAATTTGTCAGCGCAGTGTGAATGCAGCGAATACTTGAAGGAAATACATCAAAATATTAATTGTTGTGTTTGACTGGTAGGGCTAGAGGTGATTTCCTTCTACCCAATCTTTCTGCTCTTCTAAATTTTCCGCAAAGAAAATGGGTTTTCTAAAGAAAATAAAATGTTTTTAAATAAAGAGTGATCCATAGAGACTGAGCGCCTAAGAGACATTCACCCTCCCACTACCTAGTGATCCCCAGTCACCGGGAGTGAATCACCCAGGACACAAACATCCCCTGAATCTCTCAGGTCACACCCACCTGCGCAGCCAGGGCCCCTCCGTTTGCCATTTCTGGGGCTCCCTTTTCCACCCCAGTTTCCAAGGGCCCCGGGGCTGAGGGAGGGTGGCTGCTGCATCAGCCGTGAGGCCATTAAGTTAAATCAAACGGGCCATGGCGGCCTTTGACGTTGCCATCCCTAGTGTCTCCACCTCTGCGTCCACACTCCATTCATCTAGCAGAGGAGCTTTCCTCAAAGAAGACACCCCTGAGGAGTATGGAAGGAAGATGATTTTCCCTCAGAGAGCCAGTCCCTGCCTTTCCTTCCGCCTAGCCTGGAGGAAATGACGTTGGCCTCAGGCCCTGACGTGGAAATGGGCAGAGGCAGGGCAGTGGCACAGGCGGCCCCCACAGCCCCTGGCCCTCTTGGCTGACACCCACCACAGCAGGCTGGAGGGAGGCTGCCCTGAGAGTTCTTCCCCAGGCTGGAAATGCACTGTTGTGTGTGCAGAATGCCGGGAGCTTTCCTCTTCTGAATGTCTGTACACTTCTCCTTTGGGCTGGCCGACCAGATCAGGAGGGTGCCCAGTGCTGGGAGGGAAGGGTCTAGCCTGAACCAGTTTAAGAGGGAAACTCCCCTGACGCAGAGCCTGGCAGGTGGGGGCCGGACAGTTCCTGGCAGAGGAAGTGCAGCCACCCCCAGTAAACCCGAGGGCAGAGCTGGTGGGGGAGTTCAGGGACCCATGGGCCTGGGGTCATTGGAGAGGGGACCACAGTGTCGGAGGAGCGGAAGCCTCAGAGACAGAAAGGGAGTATCTTTTCTTAAGCATCTGTTATGTGCTAGGCCCTTTCCAAGGATTAGCTCATTTAATCCCCACAGCAACCCTGAGGGGTAGGAATTATTATCCACGAATCCAGATGAGGCTCAAAGAGGCTAAATAACTTGCCCAAGGACACAGACCCTGGAAATGACCAAGTTGGGGTTTGGACC